TAAGTCACCGAATATACACGAAAACCATCTACGTTCATCATTATTTCAACTAGTAGTGTATAATATAATTCATGTAGGTTATTTCATTTTTAAAGAAACAATAAAGCTAGTATAATGTTAACATAAATGGTAAACATTGAACAGCAGCAGATGTTGTTGTAGCTGGTTAGGTTATTTAAAACGTTTCTTCATTTAGCGATGAACGTCAATCATGGCAAAAAGATTGTGTCGAAATAAGCAAATATGCATAGATTCAATGTACTACGGTGAAATTGTCTGTGTGAAGAATGCAGGTTTTAACAGATAGATAAAATGGAAACATAAGTAGTGAGTAAACACTAACTTTACTCTGATTCTTGTTTTATGTGATATTTGAACACTGAATACATTCCTTGATGTTTAGAAAATACTTGAAATAAATAGTAACGAAAACAAGATGCAGTTAGTTTTATTGTAATTAACTGTTCATGAAATGAGTGGCACAGATTTTTTACTAACTTGTGCGTTGGTACCACGTGATTTATGTAATCTTAAATAATGTTAGGTGGATATAAAAAGATCTCTGTGTGAGAACATAACATATTAACTGAAGTGATAACCTATAAACTTTGGATGAGTATTAAAAAAGATACTCAATGCTATCTAAAATTATTAAATAAGTTAAAAAACAAAAGAGCACTCATGAGATGTTATGAAAATCACAAAAAGTCAATATGTTCCTTAAATTCGTTTTTCCTGTGTTAGTGGATTATTTTGCTAGTATATTCGTAGGATAATACTTTATAGCAATACATCAAAATTAAGCGAATTCATTTAATAAAAGGTAAAGATTCTATAAAAATAGAGAGATAGAAAGAAGGATGATTGCAGTTGATTTCAGTAAGCGTTCATGTTGGGACTAGTTACAAGAGATAAAAACGGTCCAAGTGAATAAATTGAGCAGCTGATGCTATACATAATGAACTATGTATATCCAAAATACTTCGAAATACGGTCCTCAAAACCTTTATTTCTCCAATTTTCCAGCTGTTAGCTGTAGGGCATTTGATCATTTAGAGAATAATGGGCTTCATTTTTGTTAGGGGCTCCAGGAGGAAGCACGAAAGTGATCAAAGATAAAATCATCTTGCATCTGATCAATAACGACTGTAGATGAGTGAAATGAATAATAGTTTGATGAAAAGATAAAAAAGAAAGCTCAATATTCAGGTCACAGCAATAAATACGTCTCGATCGAGATTCCCACGAGACTGTTCAAATGATCAGGAAAACACTAAGTCAGTAACCATGAGGTATTCAACAGAAAGACTAATTGGGATGAAAAATTTTATCTTTTATTATGCCATGGACCTAACATACTTTATATATGTCTGAGTGCTTCCAAAAGTCTACCCAAACGTCATCAGGATTAGAACTAACTGATAACAAAATACATTAATCAGTCTTACCTACGCTATATTATTTCCCAAAAGCAAAGTAGATGATAACATAGCTCCATTGTTTTTATTTAACTTATGATCATACTCAACTTGCTTCGTTTTCTTATACATGTATGGTCAATTTGTTGGGAAAGAGGGGAAAAACAACTCAGGGGTGTATTAAAAAACTAATCCCTAGTCGTATCGGCCAACTAGAGAAAACCCTGAGTCAATAAACTAATAAAAATAATGGTGATTATGTCATACATATAATTCAACAACAATTTCACGAGTTACTAATAATGTTTAAATGAATATACATGTGACTGCTATAGTTGAAATAGTGTTTTATTTTTCCGAAACAGAATCCATGATTTCATTAATTTTATTTATATATTCTGGAGTTTCTACATGTTATAAACTGTATCACAAATGATTGATTTCAAACTCTAAGGGAAAGTGATTACTTATCACATTCACTCGAGAAGACATCAATTACGAAACTGACGTCATTTTTGTAGCATCTTACAGATAGTAAACAAAGTGTGTTGGGCAAATTCGACAATATTGCTGGTTGACAGAAAGTAATTTGACTACGAATTATCAGCAGCATTTGGTAAAATATATTACGACATTGATATTTATTTGAGGATCATTGAAAAAACTTAGAAACCAAATAAAAACCATACTTTTAGTTCATTTAGCTGAACACATTAAGTATAACAATATATTTTGTTTATTGCTTCACTGTGAAACTCAGGTGGAACTGATTGTCTGATCTATCGCTCAATGTTCCTAACCTCAATTTCGATGCAGTTGTCATTTTGATTAATTTAAGTTCAGGTTCGATAATCAGTTTTTAAGTCAGGTTTTAGAAAAAAACTATCTTTATTTCAATTATATAAAGCCGGATACTCATTGAGATATAATAAGAATTTAGATTACCTTCGATGGACGTAGATAAATGGAAATCGAGTGTTTAGACGATGCAATCATGGAAGGAGATTTGAGCAGAATAGTGATATAGTGTATTGACTATGAGAACGTCTAAGTTATACCACAAACCCATCCTACTTTCCGAAAGGGCAGTCAAACAATTAGATGTAATCAAAAGAGATCTATCGTTATGTTCATATTTCCATCAATGAAGAAACCTTGTAATAGAAGTAATCCAATGTTCAAGTTTCGGGCTAAAATAAAAACACCAACCATATCTGTGTCTATCTATAGCTCTTCACTCTGAAGCACACAGTGCTTGTTAATGTAAAGCACATCCTGCTCGGATTAGTTAATTGTTTCCAATTACTATTTTTACTAAGAAACATAATCTTGTAAACTGGCGTCTTGATAGTAGAGTTCATTTCATCCTGCATGCTTCTGTAGGTCATGTTTGAATCCATAGGTATTTACCAGAAGTTGAATGTGTTACTATCGTTGGACATTACCTTGAAATTTATAAACTAGTCATGGAGTAATCACGCATTACTGGGATTTGTCTATCAATTAAAAGCTAATATGATTCTATAAATGTCATTTTTTAAAATCTGAATGGTGACTGAATTGCTAATCTTTGAAATTGACGAGTCTCTCATAAAACTACTTCTTATTGGTTTAAAAAATTCGAACAATCACTCAGTATTATTACGTTCTATAGGCACAAAATCTTTCATAAAAATATAAAGTAACTGGACAAATGATCTTTAAAGTCACAAGAGAGAACAACAACTGACACTTTTGATTCCATATGTCATTCACAAATTTACGCATCAAGTATTTCAACGCTATCGAATTAATCGTCGATTTTGGTTGCTCATAAATATTTTCTAATGAAAGTCCCAATGTCACAAACCTATTTGAAAAGGAAATTCTGGTTATAATAATAGGTGACGCAAACTGATCACAAGGTGACGTCGAGTGGAGTGTTCTGGCGATTCGGCGGTTGCTGTTTAAGGAGAGACGCAGTGGGACGTGCGGCTGCTGGGTGGACATCGGAGGTAGATGGCCCGGCATGTCGACATTGCTATAGAGGTCAGAGTACCAGAGGACACGACACTTTGATGGATGTCGTGGCACATCCAGCAGAACAACCACAAGAGCGACCGTCTAAAGGGGGGAGATAAGCGTAATATGTGCTACTTATGTTGATCGAAATAAGTAGTATATAACACTAATCGAAAGTGGAAAACCTGGCAGCAGAGGGCTATGAAGATCACGTTGAAGAAAACAGAAGGGGAAATAGAGAGGAATTGTGAATTAGGAGAAGCATACAGAATGTGAAGGACGATTAATAGATTTGCAAATGAAGTATTTATTGTATGGTTCTCATATTTTACCGAAACATTCCGTAATTCTGTATTAAACAATAATTTGGTCGTTCCCATCTGGGTTCTTATTCACTACCAAACCACTAGATTTTATGATTGATGTGTGAACTCTGTCAAACTGATTCCGCTCAATTTATGTCCACTTTCAACTCCCATACTACAGATGTTTTTTTTTCCGTAGGACTTCACAGAAGGTCTTTTTTTCACCACCAAACATGAAAATCAACAACCTCCACAACCCTATACTGATAATTATCGTGTGATCACTAGGGACTAGCTTCGAAAGAGAATTCTTATTGTTCTAGTGAGATGTTGTAACCAGTGGAGTTCAGTCGTGTCAGATGTGAGGCAGATGCCCACCGAAGACAATTGAAGATGGTCGCGCAATATTGTGGATTAATTGAAATCAGACATCGCTGGATGCCAACTCAGTGGTCTAGGGGTTAAGCGTTAACACGCGAGACCTTAAGTCCTGAGTTTGATTCCCACGTGCAGTGTCGTGGATGCGCACTGCTGAGGAGGAATCGGTCGTCTATTACTTACAGGTTTTCAATGGTGGTCCAACATTGACTGGTCTATGATTTCAATGAAACTCAACAACTCCCACAACCCTATACTGATAAACATCTTGTGCTAGAACAACTAAAAGAGAATCGTTAAAATATTCTCTACTTTCTGAAAACTAATCCTCTTTTATAGTTTTTGTAAGGTTCATCTCATTCTGATTATATTTACTTGTTTGAAATCAACTGCTCATAAATAATTAAAACACAGTTATCTTTTAAACAAGTCATTATATTTTCTCCACCCATATCTTTGAAACTTTAAGAAACTAACGCGTTGATTTTAGTATGTAATAACTCTTAACCATGCATACTACAGTAAACTTAGTTAGGTTACAATACAGATAAAGTCATTCTTCATAAACATGTTGTTTTTTAGGGATTGGTAAATAAATATTATGAACCTAAACACACAGAAAGATACATTTACAAAAAGAATGAGTTTTAATTTTATGCAATCAGTTGCGAAAATGGCATAGTCGTTAGTTAAAGCACAAAGTCAGTTTATAATATATTCATTTTAACCGAAAGTAAATATGGATGAGGTATTTACACATTTCGAAATGTTGACACTTGATAGGTTTTTTTGTATCTGATGAGATCATGAATTAGAAAAGGCATTTTAAACTTAAAATGTGATTATAAAATCGCTCATAAAAAGATATAAAGTTAGAAAAAAGTAAACTAGTATAACGCTACACGTTTTGTGGAGAATATGTTGGATCGGGCCAGTATCGATCAGCAGAACCTGGATCACTATCACTATCTTCTTGTTGCTCATTTGGATTACTCTGATTTGATCGCAAGGGTTCTGCCCAACTTGAAGTTTCCTCCATAGCATCTTCACCTGCTTGTTCTGGCAAACTGGAATCAGCAACGCTTCTGTGAATCTGCAGTTGTCTAAGATAATAACGCCGTTGACGAGCATTACGTCGAAGCCAAAGTTGACGGTTAAGGAATGGTAAATTGTTTTCTGATTCTGAATCGACTGCGTTAAAGACATAAGAAGTTTCACTTGAATTAGCCTGGTCTAAATTGTTATTTTCTGGATTAGGAATGGCATCGGGCCATTGAGGCCATACATACCCTGCAGCAGCCTCGAATGATGTATTGACTGGAAGACCACTTCTCATGTCAAGTCCTATTCTCTGTGTGTTCGACGTAGGTTCATCTACAGATTGCTGTTCTGAGTTTCTTGATTCCGTTGGAACTGATGAACCTGTTGATGAAAAATTTCGATTATGTTGGCCAGGAGAGTTGACTGTCATACTGCTTCTGCTTTCACTACTTGTGTAACCGAAATTCGACAACATTAGATGGCTTAATGAACTTTCTTGGTCACTTGATAATAAGGGTTGTCCACTACTTGCCCATGAATCAGTTGAAAACAAGCCAACATTAAACTGTTCATTATTCCGATTATTTCCAGATGTATTGCTATTTATCTTAAAATTATGGCTAATATTTCCTGTTCCATTTGCTTCATCAACTTTAATTAACGTTGGGTGACTGTGCGTAGCAAATGATGAATTACCCCAACGCTCACCGATCCCAGAGTTTATACTTATGGATGCTGACATTGTGTAGTCAGTGCGAGCTCCAACACTACGTCGTTTATGTCGCGGATATTTCCCAGTACGATTAGCTTGTAGGACTGTTGGAGGTAGTAATAAACTAGTACGTGTACGTCTACCAACATCAAAGCGCCGATTTGTTAATCCACTACTAGAACTTGAATTTTGTAGAGGCGAACAAGAACTCCTACATTTCATTGACTGAAATGAAGGAACAGTTTGTTCTGGTTGTCGAAAACGTTCACCAGATAACCGAGTAGTTGGATAAATTGTTGCACGACTTCTTGTGTCACCAGTGCTACTGTACACTTCCGTATTTGAACTACTTTCATTCTAAAGTATCAAGTGAAGAAAATTTAGATACCAACGATTTTGTCAAATAAACAATTAACTTATAAATAATTTTTAACAAGTCAATTAATTAAAATGGAAATATGATTATTCTTTAACTTTTTTTCTTTATGAATGTATATACACCTCATGATCTATAAAATCCTATATGTTTTAATATTTATGAATATCAGATACTGCGATCTGAGCGTTAACTTGTTTAACCATGAACGTAACACAATATCACTAGTTTAAACTTATTAAATATTGAAAAAATGTTTATTTTCTAAAGCAAAATACTCTTTATTCGGGGAAAGAAATATTGAAGTCTTTTTACTCAAATATCAAGCCTTAAGGTTTGGATATAGATAGATATGCAATGACTTAATCCACTTTATGGTATAAAACTATTTGTCTCATTGTAACGCGAGAGATCATATTCATTGAACAATCGTTTTGAAACTTTTCACTGTGCAAGATTTTGAAAAGTCTTTATTTGCTTAAATGTCCTCTAAAACTAAGCCATACAGAATACAAATGAAATAAAATGTGTTTAACTAAAAGAATACTAAACAAACTCCACATTTACAGTATTTATAAAGTCAAAGCTCACCCAGTCAGTGGATTGTAGCAAGCTTAAGAAGCTACACTGCATTAACTAATCACCTTCTTGATAGTTTGTCAAGGAAGCTAACTCATGAAAAAGCCTTTACATCTTAAGCCACATTGGCAGGCAACTTATCAGTCAGTGTGTGGTTATAGACTAGAATAAATTAGCACACGAAGCTCAATATGTTGTCTATAGCTAGATGAGCTCACGTAGAAGTTCAGCTGTTAATTATCTCACTAACAAGAAACATTCGAACTACTTTAGTACATGTTTGTGTTTGACAGAGTTGTTTGAAACAATTTAGGACAAACCATTTACACTTCACTAAAGCATTGACAAGAAAAAATATAGATTTCAGCTCTATGATTAATACAAAGAAGTCCAATCTCTTCTGTTTTCACGATCATAGTAATTAATCTATGAAACGTAGTAGTTCGGTTAACATATATATATATGTTTATGGGTCACATGGAGTTTCTATACACTATTCGAAAATATTTCATGATCACTTAAGATAATTTGGCATTCAAGTCCACAAGTGTTAATTCACCTTAAATAAATTTTTACTGACAACTATGCATCATACATAATTTTTCCATTTCAGAAATAAAGTTTGTGCAGTGCACTGTTTAATGTCTTTTTCTTTATATGAAGCTATAATATAGTAGGCCGAATTCCTTGACACTAGACGAGAACGATATTTTATTTGACAGACAATTGTAATGTCAAAGATCATATAAAAACTGTTGAGTAAGCAGTCAGGTATTTCAACTGCATAGAAAAATCAATTCTATAAAATTTAAAATTCCATTCGTCTTATTTCCGTTTCATAAAGAGCTCTTTATCACTTAGTTGGACAGCTGTGCATGATGACAGGTAATTATAAGAAATTTCTTTCGATATACTGATAATGCCAAATGTTATTGTAAAATAGTTATAATTTCAGGTTGCAGGTGAGTATTATATTTTGTGTAAGGTCATCTATCCGTGTTTCTCTGCTCAATAAATGTTGCGTATCCAACATTTTTCGGCGTTTGCTCATTCATTTGGTAGGCAGGTGCCGCATATGAGTATAATTCCGAATGAAGATTTTATTTTAAGCATCTAAAGTTATCCCCATCTGTCTGCTATGAAAACGTCATCGCAACCCAACATATTCAATAACAAGCACGAATATGGTGATTGTTAAATCTTTAAATGAAATATCCAGTGAAAATTACAAACTTATATAACCACTCACCCACTAAATGAACAGAAAAACGACTGGAAAAGACGAACAGGGCATAGTTATTGGATATTGAAAATGGGATGCATAAACCCGCATTTCTTTTTAGCTACAATTTAACACATGCCTATCAGCTTGTAGGAGCACATGAAGAAACAAAAGTAAACCGAAATAAATTTAAGGGTAAAGTGCCGTTTTCCCTTAGATACATTTATTTATTATATAGAATTATCAACGTGGAGTTATTGAATCATATTAGTAAAACCACGTTGGTGATGTTTTCAAAGTAGTAATGAAATGCTTTTTAGAAAGGCTCTAAAAGGTTGTCACTAAGTGTAAAAATACAATTCATCAGAAAATATAGAATCTTACTCTGGAATGAAGATAAAGATGTGGTTGACGTGCGAAATCCTTAAACATGTTATACAGTTCTACGAAATTTGGTCGAGCATCAGGATTTTCATTCCAACCTATCAGAAGACAAAGTTTAGAAACTATTATTAAATTACTTAATGAAATGAAAAAAGTGAATATTACTTTCCACTTTAATGTTCTTTTGTCTATCGGTAAACTCCTGGGGAGTTTGTTTATCTTAAATATTCATGGAAATCTATTTAGCGAACACCTAAATAAGATGAACTGCATTTATTTGCTTAGAAACGAAATATTAGCCTACCTTTGGTCTCGAAAAATTACATTAACAATTTATGCCGCAATTAGTAATTGTACACAGAATGAATAAATATGATGAAATGATGAAATACACAAGGACTACATTATAGAATATAAATGAAAGAGTATAAAGCTTTCCGATATTACAAAATCTATAAAAATTGATTGTTTCTGCTTTGCGGTAAATAAACTTTAATATTCGTGTATTGGCGACCTATCAATGCTTACCGTTTTCAACAAATATGCTTCATGGCAGGTTGTTATAATATTCAATAAAAGGAAATCTCAAGATACTCAGAATGATTAAGTGGAGTTTTAGAACAGAAAATTTATTTTAAACTTTGAATATCAAGTGAACCAATAACTATGGTCTGTCCAGTATGACACAGATGCATAGCTTGTAATGTAATTACTTTAGTATAGAATAAAAAACGATTCTGAAATTATATGATTATCCTTCTATCTATACTGAAAGTAGGTTTTTATGTGTTTTAGTAGTTACAGTGCTACCCAATTAGTCTAAAAGAAATTTATTAACTATGCATAACAATTGTTAATTTTAAATTTTTTTATGTAGCAAAAATAGAGATTATTTACGGAGTGTATTTTTAGCTGTAAGATACTGAACTGTATAATTCTAATTATTTACTCTCAATAAATAAAACTTGGATTATCTAATTCCAAGTAAGACAACTATTTTCGGATAATTTCAATGATCTTTATGACTGGCCTTCTTACTTATTTTAACGGAATTATTTATTGGTTAACATTACTTGACCGTAGTGAGCCTTAGAAATTTAGTTTGAAATAATGAGCTTTGTGTAATGACATTTTAAGTGAACTTACAATTTAACATAACTTGATATAGTTCGAGTGTGCATATATCTGGTTGTGGAAGACGTCTACCTGCTAAAACATGATCTTTTACGTTGGCCGTTTCTATACGATCAAATGGTTTATCCCCAAATGTGAAAATCTCCCAAATAGTGACACCTAAAAAATGCGAAGTAAATGTTAGAAATTGTTACAAAATTCACGTTTGTAATCTCCAAATTTTCACATTTACAAAGTTAATAAGAATCAAAATCTTGAGTTTAGAATGCCTAGTTGTTATCCTTAGTTTAAAATTATCAAAAACTCATCATTTCAACATAAAGATCTAACTTATTTCCGTTCTTATGGTCGGTTTCAGTCAAATTACACTAGTCGATAAATATTTTGTTCAAAAATATTTATGTATATTTTTACACTGCAATAAAAGAAAATAAAACTTCCCATGAAAATAAACTCTATTTCAAATATAGTAATAAAAATATTTCCAATACATTTGGCAACAACCTATTTGAATTGAATCATTTTATTTAGTAATGGCTACTAGGGAATTTTAAGATGAATATTTTGTATTATTTGGAGCTCATCATTCAGTTACCTTCGTATTTTAGTATGTGATTTATTTGGAATTTGATTATAACTATCGTTCACTTTATACTCCAGAATATTACTTACTAATCTAACGATCAACGAAGAGAATATTTTGCACCTTATGTGTTGGTTATTATTTCCCGTCAGGGACATTTTCAAGAATGAAATAAGCAGTTGTATACGTAAAAACATATGAACATATGTCTTTCATTAATCTTCGTTTTCATATGGTTTCGTAGTGTAGAAATTTTGATAAGCCATAGAACTATTGAGATTATTTTCGTCTAATTAGTTCGTCCTGATTAAGTATTTATTCATACAGAGCATGTATATCAGCTAGTAGATGAATGGTATAGTAGCTTAATAATCTTCATAATGAGTATAATGATTTAAAATTAAATAGAAATGTCAAGAAAATCTGAATGACTTTTTCAGTGTGGAGCACGATTTGTTTATTTACATGCCTAGGTTTTCATATTGTTTGTTGTTTATTGCTTAAAAAAATATCACATATTTTTTTATTGGAATCTATCTCACAGAATTTGATGAATTTGATCTGGATGTTTACTTACCGTACGCCCAAACATCAGTTTTGAATGAGTAAATACGATGAGTCAGTGTTTCACAGGCTAACCAACGGATAGGAACGCGTCCCGAACAAACAATTACTTCGTTACGTTTAGCTTCTTCTTCACTTTCCAGCATTTTTGCTAAACCAAAATCTGTAATTTGTAGATGTTCTGGTGATGTAACTAGGACATTTCGAGTAGCCAAATCACTGAAATTTACAAAATTATATTACGAGGTTACTTAGTTGATATTAGATGTGATTGAAGTTATATATTTGATAACTTATTGAATATACCTTCAAATTTATTAGGGATCATGTATGGATGTAGTAATTTTCTATTTCGATCTTTATTTAATACCAATTTGAACTCCAACTTGCAGGTTAGAATTATTCGTTAATTTACTTATGTTAGTATTTCAAGGGAAATCATGGAGTTCATTTGGTAATGAAGTTCAAAATAAATACTTATATAAATGAACCGCTTGACAGGCTAGGAATTATCAGAACCAAAGGCTAAGGACGAAACTACACCATTAAAGATTTTTTTATTACTTTACAAGATCTTTATGAGAATATGAATTAATTAGAGGTATTTATAGTATAGGATAAAACGAGTGGATGTTTAACGGATAGAAAAGAATGTTAACTGAAGGGAACTAGGGCCACGTGAAAGCAATTTTACACATTGTGTGATTTTTTAAGTCATCTCAAACGATGAGTTCGATACTGCATGAACGTTGAAATTTGTTTTCACAAACTAGCAAGAAACCTCATATGATTATTTTACGACAAACAGCCGTAAAATGAAACTACCTGACAAGTGGCGTGTTACAATTAAAAAATTACTCACCGATGGATAATTCCCCGAGATTGTAAGTATGCCATTCCATCGGCAATCTGAGATGCCCAATCTAAAAGAGTTGAGGAGTCAATATTTGGGGCACGCAGTCTTAGATAACGATCTAGACTTCCATTTACTACGTAAGCTGAAACTAAGCATTTTCTTGATTGAGATAAACATATTCCAAGAAGTGGGAGGCAGTGATAGTGAGAGACAGATGCCATAACCTGAAATACAGAAGTGAATATTTATTAATGGTTTATTTTTTATCTTTTGGAGAAAAATTACACACAGAGGGTGTGGTCTAAAACAGCTTGCCATATATGTTTAAGTTGTGGTTGACAATTTTGCTTAGTTGTTGAAAACATGTTATTTTACACAGAACTTTTGTGTATCAAGTGTATTTAACTTAAGATTAAGTAGCCAAATAATTAGTGGAAACTGTAGTGGACGTAGTTAAAGGTTCTGTCAATATACAAGCAAATAAATTTTTCATATGCTGGTTACCTTTGCGTGGTGGTGTTCAACATAAATAATTAGTGTTCCGTGTTATACGGAATTAACTCCGCCTGTAGCTCTTATAGGGTTGCTGCCGGTCCCAAGCCCGGGTAAAGGAGGAGGGTTGAGCATGGGGTTAGCGTCCCCATCCCGTAGAAAACTAACTCGCTAAAAAAACGCTTACCAGAAAAAATAATCCAAACCATTTTAACTCTGCCCTGGGAGTTAGAAGGTCTTCATTTAGAAGAATTATGACGCTTCATGGTGAAAGCCGAGTTCCTTCGGAAGCCACGAGGCCGATGCCCCTTCTAACAACCAGAGCAAAAATTTTTATAGGTACATGGAACGTTCGAACAATGTGGGAAACCGGGAAGACCAGTCAAATATCAATGGAAATGAGGAGATACAACTTAGCAGTACTGGGAATCAGCGAAGCCCACTGGACCCAAGCTGGACAGAAAAGGCTAGCTACGAGAGAGATGCTGCTATACTCCGGTCACGAAGAGGACAATGATCCACACACTCAGAGAGTCGCTCTTATGCTGTCCAAAGTAGCACGAAATGCACTTGTAGGATGGGAATCTCACTGATCCAGAATCATCAAAGCATCATTCAAAACAAAGAAGGAGGGGATCTTAATGAATATTATCCAATGTTATGCACCCACCAATGATAGCAACGACGAAATTAAAGATCAGTTCTACGAGCGGCTGCAGTCAGTGATAGAGAAATGCCCAAGAAAGGACCTAACTATTCTGATGGGAGATCTAAATGCCAAAGTCGGAATAGACAACACTGGATATGAAGATATTATGAGACGACATGGACTGGGAGAAAGAAACGAAAATGGAGAAGGATTTGCAAATCTATGTGCATTCAACAAATTGATCATAGGAGGCACAATATTTCCACACAAGCGTATACACAAGGCTACATTGATCTCACCGGACCACACTTCAGAGAACCAAATAGATCATATTTGCATCAACAATAAATTCCGAAGGACAATGGAAGATGTGAGAACCAGGAGAGGTGCTGACGTAGCTTCAGATCACCACCTAGTTGTAGCCAATTTAAAACTGAAGCTAAAAAAGAACTGAACAAGTGGACAAACAGCAATACAAAGGTTCAATACAGCCTTCCTTCGAGATACTGACAAACTCAATGAATTCAAGATAGCTTTCAACAACAGGTTCCATGCCTTACAAGATCTACTGAAAGAAGAAGAAACTACTATGGAGGACAACTGGAAAGACATCAAGGAAGCATTAACTTTAACGTGTCAAGAGGTTCTCGGTCTAAAGAAATACCATCATAAGGAATGGATCTCTACAGAAACACTGGACAAGATCAAAGAAAGGAAGAACAAGAAGGCAGCAATGAACAACAGCCGAACACGAGCAGAGAAAGTCCAAGCACAAGCTGAATACATAGAAGCAAACAAACAAGTGAAGAGGAGCATTAGAGCCGACAAGAAGAAATACGTGGAAGAACTAGCAACGACGGCGGAAAGAGCTGCAAGGGAAGGAAATATGAAACAGCTTCACGATACAACGAAGAAACTATCAGGGAAATACAGTAAACCAGAGAGGCCGGTCAAAGACAAAGAAGGCAAGCCAATCACCGAAATTCAACAACAGCGTAACAGATGAGTAGAATACTTCGAGGAACTGCTGAATAGGCCGGCTCCAATGAATCCACCGAACATCGAAGCAGCACACATAGATCTTCCTATAGATGTCAATCCACCAACTACGGAAGAAATTAGAATGGCCGTCAGACAAATCAAGAACGGGAAAGCAGCAGGACCCGACAACATACCAGCTGAAGCACTGAAATCAGACATCGAAACAACCACAAGCATGCTTTATCTTCTATTCAAAAAGATTTGGGAGGAGGAACAAGTGCCGATGGACTGGAAAGAAGGACACCTCGTCAAGATTCCAAAGAAAGGAGATCTGAGCAAATGTGAAAACTACAGAGGCATTACACTACTGTCAATACCAGGGAAAGTCTTCAACAGATTGTTGCTGAACCGGATGAAGGATGCAGTAGACGCCCAACTTCGAGATCAACAAGCTGGATTCCGTAAGGATCGGTCGTGCGCAGACCAAATTGCAACACTACGGATCATCGTCGAACAATCAGTTGAGTGGAACTCATCACTATACATCAACTTCATTGATTATGAAAAGGCATTCGACAGTGTAGATAGGAGGACATTATGGAAACTTCTTCGACACTACGGAGTTCCTGAGAAGATTGTCAATATAATCCGGAACTCATACGACGGACTACAGTGCAAAGTAGTGCATGGAGGACAGCTGACAGATGCATTCCAAGTAAGGACCGGAGTCAGACAAGACTGTTTACTCTCTCCCTTCCTCTTTCTTCTGGTGGTCGACTGGATTATGAAGACCTCAACATCTGAAGGAAAACACGGAATACAATGGACAGCTCAGAACCAATTAGACGATTTGGACTTCGCAGATGACCTAGCCCTCCTATCACGTACACACGAACAGATGCAGATGAAGACAGCCAGTGTAGCAGCAGTCTCTGCATCAGTAGGCCTCAGCATACACAAAGGGAAAACTAAGGTCCTCAAATTCAAAGCGGAGAACAGCAATCCAATCACACTTGATGGCGAAACTCTGGAAGATGTAGAGTCCTTCACATACCTGGGAAGCATCATCGATGAACAAGGAGGATCCGATGCAGACGTGAAGGCGAGGATCGGCAAAGCAAGGGTCGCATTCCTACAATTGAAGAACATATGGAACTCAAAACAACTTTCAACCAATATCAAAGTGAGAATCTTCAATACGAACGTCAAGGCAGTTCTACTGTATGGAGCTGAAACTTGGAGAACTACAACAACCACAATCAAGAAAGTACAAGTATTTATAAATAACTGTCTACGCAAGATACTCAACATCCATTGGCCGGATACCATCAGCAATAGCCTTCTGTGTGAGAGAACAAACCAACTTCCAGCTGAAGAAGAAATTAGGAAAAGACGATGGAAATGGATAGGACATACATTACGCAAATCGTCAAACTGCATCACGAGGCAAGCCCTAACTTGGAATCCTGAAGGGAAGCGAAAAAGAGGAAGGCCAAAGAACACATTACGTCGGATAATAGAAGCAGATATGAAAACGATGAATTACAACTGGACGGAGCTAGAAAGGATTGCCCAGGACAGGGTTGGATGGAGAATGCTGGTGAGCGGCCTATGCTCCTTCACGAGGAGTAACAGGCGTAAGTAAGTAAAGTTATACGGAATTCCTGACGTTACATAAAAATGTTAGAATTTGGCACTGGTAAATAGTTTGGCGACTCAGGGCGTTCTGCGTTACGATATCAAGGCTCATTTAGTTGCTCATATATATAGCATTTAATTGACGTTGTATATAGTTGATAATCCGTCTAGTTATTGTCGAATCGACGTAATATATTTATTCTGAGTTGCTCATCTGCCAATAATAGGTTTCTGTACTTGTCTAGTAGCCAATTATTATATATGAGGACTAACAGTACTACTCGGCTGCCCAAAGTAAATTGTTTGGAGAAGAGCATTGACGTTTAGTTGCGGACGCAATTTACCGATCGTCGCTCGCAATATAGCGCACAGAAGCTGTGGCAGTCTAGATTTTTTCCAGTCCAGGTTGCCTTCCTATGAACTGATCGTTTTATAGTTCTATACTCCTTTCGGGTCAAAACTCTACCTAAGAATAGGGATCGGTTATTATTATTCCTCCTCATAAGTGAGTACGATATCATTCTGTATGTTATCGACTTTATTTAATAACTGAGCCATATGAAACTCCTTATCATATATGACTAGTGTTTCTTACATGTATCTCCTACACAAAAATATTTTGCTGATGATATCACTTGTTATATTTTTAACATGTGAGATAAATGCAACAACCAATTCTTTCAGATAATTGAAATTCAAAGAACATTGATAATAGTTGAACTTAAATCAAAAACTATTTCGACTAAACAATATGGTAAAGGAAACATGTTCTGATCTACAACGTTTCGTCGTCATTACAAACTGAGGTAGATAATTGTGAAAAATGATGGCTATTCATTCATTATTGTCAAAGAATGTGTTAGAAAGATAACCTGAATGACAATAAAGTTCAAAACAGATACATTTGACTTATTGTATTAGCAAAGTGAAGACTTAAATTAAATAAGGCTTTTGCATCAACAAATAGAGCAAAACTGACCAAGCTTCAGAATTTTATTATAGACTGACTTAAGTATGTCTATATTATGTTGCACATTTATTTGTATCTACATAGGAGCATTGTCTTCGTGTTCCGACAGAAAAATTCAGTACACAGAAGAGCTCTTAAACTTATCACCTTGTCGATAAAAAGTTATGTTAAACTGACAAAAAAGAGAGAGATCCGTGAGTTCCCAGGATATGAACACCTCAGACTTACTTTTGCTTCGTCCAGTAGTGCTTGTAGATCACTTGACCCGCGAACTTCATTCAAAATTTTCACAGCAACGCATAGTAGTTTGTATTCCTTTTTAGATTTCTCTGTCGATGCTTTAGATGTTGTAGTAACGCTATGGCTAGTTTGACTGGTATCTTCGTCAGTATTATTGTTCTTCTGGTTTATAACTGATGATTGCTCTGTAGCTGACGTGTGCACTTCATTTGCTTGAATATTACTGGAATCTATTTGAATTGTAGACACCACGTTCATTTCATTCATTGGAGTTGGAGTTGTCAACAAAGAGCGGGAGCTTTGTGAATTAACTTTAAGCATTAACTCCTCTTCATTATTCGCTGTAATCACATAATTTATATTTGGTAAATTTGGATAATCAGTTTGGCATACTTTCCAAATACCTTGGTAGACTGCTCCGAATGCACCTGTTCCCAAGGGACCAGATTTTTCATTTAGGCATAAGTCATCCAGGTTGATCATGACTAATCTACCTAGATTCGGTGCTTTCTGTCCGTTCACAATCTAATTCGTATGGAAGAAATGATCAATCACGAAATAATAAAGTGTGCTCAATTTAGTTCAGTGGGATTATCTTCATTTCTTAGACCAGTAAAAACTGGTTGTTGGTATTTTTTATAACAATAATACAGTTCACAATAAAAAGCATGTACAATAAGTTATTTCAGCCCGATTATTTGTTCACTGAAGAACCGAATAACACTGAATCAGAAAACATCAGAAATTCAATTTTCTACTTGTTAGGATATTAAAAACATACTATTGTTTTATTATAATAAACAACCCGTCCATAATTCCGTTTTTTTGGTTATCAAGTGGAACCTTAGTAAGGAAACTTAGAAGTGATCAAATACTATTTTACTTTTGTCAGTCTGCGCGTACCACCTGCGTAACAGTACTGAATTATTATGGAATGGTAGACAGTTATTTAATAACTTAGTAGATGTTTTAAGCTTGACTTTAAATCACAGTTATTGTTTGAAAGATAGCGTTACTGTCCAACCGTTTAAAATTGAGCAAGTTACAAAGGTTTGAAGATCAGGTTCATAAACCATTGAAATGTTACTAAAAGTAGCTGATTGTGATCATTTGTTTTCACTTCATATCAAAGGCCACCTTTGAGTTGTGTAGCTCTATCCAAAGACAATATCGTCTTGAAAAAATATTTTAAGTGTATGGTATATCCATTCTGGATAGATAGAAACTAACCTAAGGGTGATTCTTAATGTGAATAGTTTTCATTACATCAAAACCAACTGGTGATTACTCGACTGCTGTTTCATACAATCATGGATTAACTCGGTGGTAAAGTGATGGCCTATCGAAAAAAGAACCAGGTTTGTCATATTTCGCAGTGGGCATGATCCCATTCACTCACTAGTTTACAATGGACTGGTTCATATTTTCTAACACTAAAAAATGCTTTCATATTGGAATAAAATAATTCAGTGAATAAAATTGGTAAACAACGTACTTGATTTGGATATCGATGGGAACCCGTTACACTAGATCTTCCTAATAAACTTTCCTCTGTGCCTGGATATTGCATTAAATTAGTTTCAGTACCACTTTCATCATTTCTATTCTTGTAATGACAATTCGTAAGAGATAAATTTATGACAGGACTACCTTTTTTATATTTATAATTGCTTATATCGGAAACAAAACGCTTAGAAATAAATGATAGTGGGCAAAACAATAATTTCAACAATAACAGTGGACTGTGTTCATATTTTTTGATGTATTGTTGATTTGAACGATAACGATAGCATATAAAAACTAGTACAGCAAATACGATTAATATAATACATAGTGGTATCATAATTAATATTACTGGATCATTTTTTAGTTTACGATGCATAATACTACCGTTAACCGATGAAAAGTAAGATGAAGACTTTCTTAGTCCGATAATTCCTGCAGACGTTCCTTGCTCCAATTGTTGATTGTTATTTGAAAATGGATAATTATTAAAGTATTGAAATGGATACACATTGTCCTGCATTATCAGTTCATAATCACTAGTACTTAAATATGTACTATGATGACATATTGTTTCACCTTCCATTTCAGGTATATTAATTATATGATTGTATAAATCATTTGGACATTGAGGTAAGCAGATAAATCTCCCATGGTATAGATGTAAATTTAGACTGTTCAATTCAATCTAGAAAGGAAATATATGTTTAGATAAAGAGGAAAATCTTATCTATCAATAGACTGACAGACATTATGAACATAGAACCTCGAACAGTTGTGCATTGATGGTTATTGATGGTGACTTCAATGAAAGTACATTAAATATCTGATATTCTACAAAATCTGATGAGATTTCAATAAAAATTCTACTCATTCTCAAAATTTTCCATCCAATACCTTACATGTGGTAAAAGGAACTGTTAATTAACGTTTCAGTCATTTGCACTTCTTTGATAAACATTAAGAGGCAATAGTCATGAAAACAGAAATGATTAACAAACTGATTCTCGGCTAAAATTCAAGATGGAAATTTAAAGTGAAGGATAAGTTCTCCTTCTTCCTATCATTTCATATCAGTCAACCAAGCTGATTACTTCTAATGGCTTTGAGCAAATAATATTAAGCCGTAACATATGAATTCAGATGAATTCACCCCATTAAATTAGTGATTTTGTGGTTGGAATACGCAAATTTCTTTGATGATACATGCATCAAAAATTATTTGGTGGTATAATGTAAAAATATTTCAACTATTGAACATATCAAACTATAAAAATTAACCGAAAATAGGCGAAACTCAATAAAATTATGAGTCTGCACTGACTGAAATACATAAGAACTGGGCTACAAATAACTAACTGTACACATAAGTTAACTTGGATTCTAGTGCACAAAACCAAATGGGTTCACTTTACTATCATTAGAAATGTGTATTTTCCAATCGGTGAAAAAAGAAAAACTGGATTCGTTTTAGATTAGCCAAAGATACATTATAGTCTGAAAAGTGCAAGCCAGAAGATTATGAGAGTACGTTCTGTCCTCCGGGCTGAGTAGTATACGGAAGTGTAGGTTATTTGTACAAAATCACTGAAACGATAGAAGTCAATGGCTAGAGGTATGGAGTGAATGACTCGTTACCCCACAACAATTCATTTTATGTGCACTTTTAGCCTGCATTTGTTTCTCATTAATATCGTCTTACTTTCTCGTTATTTCGGTTTGTGTGTTGTTACAAAGCATTCTAGATTCTGAAACTTCGACACTGAAGAATGAATGCATTCATTTTGTAACATATTATAACTAGTTAGCCATAGAATAGATTTTGCGGCTTTTAGTTAATTAAAATAAAAGCACAAAAATGTAGAATACTGTGCTGTAGAATACCGTACTATCTACGTAGTTACAAACAAGTTTATTGTGGGAATCGTGGCAACGCTGAACGTACCTGCAAGTCCTAGTAGTCTTGGTTGGTTGATCATCGATGAGGTTTGTAACCGAAGGTTAAAATCACTCAACAATTTGGACACTTGTGATTAAAATGAGATGTTACCCTGAATATCAATGATCGAACATGGGATGCAGCAGTTATTATAAAAAACAGTAATTACTAGCAACATACTAACTAAATAACTGTTGATACATTTTCACTTCGCTAACAACGAATTTTAATCAGCTGTTTTGACCAACCGTAATATGTAACAAATAGTATCAAATAATTAATAGTGGGATGCATATATCATGCTATACGACATACGTCCACTGAGTTCATCATATTTCTTCGTGAACTAATAGCGATTCAACCTAGTTGAGCCAGGAGAATAAAGCTCAACCATTTTGCTGATAATGACTTTCAAGTATGCAAAAAATACAATAAACCTGATAAGTACCTTGTCTATTAATTAATCAATAAAGTATCGAGTAATTCAGATGGATGATTTTGTGGGAGTTTCATTATCAGAGCTGGATAGTTTAATAGTGAAGCTTCCGTCCTTTTGAACAACATTATCCGAATAGCACACTTCCAACTGAAGTTTGTGTCGATAATCTTGTCCTGATGGACGATGACAGATTCCCAATTAAACTTCCAGCTCAAAGAATGAAACCTTATCCTAATATCGTGATTATCAAAGTAATTACTCCTACTGTACACGTAATTCCAACTCACTAAATGAGAAAGATCCTCATTAAAACTTATATAGAATCATATTTATAAAACAAAAACATTATCTTTTGCAACCTGATAATATGAAAAACAGTTCATTTTATTGGTCAAAACGCATCACGTCTTTTTCTAAGTCTACCAGATATTATGGGTTTTTTCCTCGTGCTATGCCAAGATCTTTTAAAACTTACGGGCTGAAGGTATTAAGCTCAGTATTTATGAAAAGTTTAAATCTGATCAATACAAAATGATTTAATAGGTGATCTGAATATTATATTTACTGCTGTTGTATTGAATATGATTTTTAAAAATATTTGCTGTATTCATACTGAATGACTATAATTACTGTAGGATATTTATACCTGAGTCTTCAGTTTTTATTGAATTTGCTACAGTCAACCTGAAGGTGAGTAGAGATCTACCGATAAATAACATAAATCCAAAAATGACAAGTAAATTCAACAAATTAAGATAATAGTTCATTTTTGTATTGTGTTTGGATCTTTTCAATGATGTTTAGGACTACAACTGATCAGTCTCTTAATGTCATATGTGCATCCTGTACGGATTGCCTCGATATTGGTGCATCTAGCTGACGAATCCCGAAAAGAACGAAACGCGCGTCCTGTATTCCACTTATAGCCACTATCTATCATTGCTTATAATGCTTGTGACGTTAGGCACTATCGAGGCAGTCCGAATAAGATGCACATATGCCAATAAGAGACTGTACAATTACAGTCCTAACAATCAATGAGAAGATTCAATACAACGATGAATCAAAATTTTATCACATTACACAAGTTTGTGGCAATCAGGACTCAGTAGCTAAGTGGACAACGTGGTGGGGTTTGATGCAAGCGGTACTAAGGTCGAGTCCTAGAATGGACGACAAATCCGGGATGCAGGTAAGTCCAGCTGTCGAGTCTCAAGTAAGACAAGACGCGCGTCCTGGATTTCACTGCTAGGCACCTTTTATGTTTGCTTGTAATTGAAGATGATACCTACAAAACGTAATTGTGAGAATGATTTTTAACTTTTAGGTACTAAAGAGCAAACTAAGTATTGCAATATTATTTTCTCATTTTGTTATATATTGGTAGCAAGTTCAGCCGATAGGATAATAGAAACTTCTTTACAAAATGCAAGCATTGAGTGAAATCTAAAGTATGAATTTACGATTTTGTGAATAAAGCTTAAACTCAGGACCTCACTCAAACATTCTTCTTACCTAGAAAACCCAAAATCAATTTTTTACTCATTTTGATCTCAAGCTCGATAAAGCTAGGGTGATTTTTTTAAAGTTATATGAAGTAATTTTCAGAAAGAAAACCAGAAAAGCAGTCTTTAGTTTTTGTCTGCTGGTACGGTTTTCCACTGAGAGTTCATATTAGTTAAATCCAAACTATTTTAAAATGATTTTACAAATTGCTAAACTCTTAAACAATAAATCACTCATAAACTAAAAGCTTATGAAATGACAACAGATAAATATGGAAGTATCATGATACTGAAATTCATTATCATACTTTAGTATTATATCGATTTTGAAAGCCTTTTAAAAACAACTGTTCTTAGTTACTGCTCTTATATTTGGTCAGTAACAATAACATGTTTTTCTAGATATAATATATGGGCGTACAGTATTGGTTATTTTGTTCTTCGAAGAATTAGCTCACATAATACGAGGAATTTACAATTATTTTTTATCCTTATTTTGCTAAGATAAAGGCATCTTCGCAGTTCATAATTTATCTGATTTCAAGAAGTCGATTACTGGTTCAAATATCAATAAATAAGAAGCCTTATAGCACCACAACTCAGTCATGCAGAGTTACACACAAAACATTCAGTCAAGTTAAACGTTTTAGACAATAATAAACTAAAAAACCTTACTTATGAAGTTAGACTTACTGATAGATCATCTCCTGAAAACTGATCCAGTCCGTAAACTTTAGTAAGATTATTAGATATAAATCGGATAGGTACTTTGACGTTAAGACAATGGTTGCACTGATCTGGTCCAGGACCCCAACATCCAGCATGACATTGCTCATGACAGGCTAAACACTGTCCATTTAAATGTCGCACATAAATGCCATTGTATTTCAAATTGACGTCTTTTAAATTTAAGTGCTTTTCTGAAGAATTTCTGGATACATTATGATTAGTCTTAATCCATATTGCGTAGGTTTGTTCTTTATGAGTAAGAGGACAAAATTATTAATAAACTTCAAAGTTAAGATACGATTACTTCAAAGCTTATAAACTATTTTCTTGAATTGATTATAAACCACAGTAATAGGTATTTTATCAGAATTTTGTCTACATTTAAACAAACAATTTCACAACAGTTGAGCTCAGAGTTAAAGATGATATTAAAAAGGCAATCACGTTTGTAAAAACTTCTCCAGTGAAAATTAGAAAATTTAATACAAATTTATTTCGTTGAATAAGGAGGCTACATAAAACATTCTAATAATCCCGCTGCTTATAAAAATCTACAAACCAAGTGAGCCACAGGAACACGAAAATAGCGTTAGCATGCAACCTACTTGGAATATCTCCTTTGGGAGTCAGGCAAAATCTATTCAAGATTTTAAAAATACACAATTTTTATTGTAAAATTAAAGACGCTTTCATCGTTTCAAAAGGTTTTAATAAGAATAAGAACGCAATCCCTGAAGATTTTTCGGAATGATGACTCATCCGTTGTCGTTTTTAGTAGAGTTCCGTTCTCTGAGCTGTATGGTCTATTCTTAGAGCTTTCATTATTCTTCTGAACAACTTCACTCCAATATCATTAAGATAAGGTGAAGTCTATTTCTACTCGAAGTTTGTGCTGATGATATTGTTCATATGAGCAATGAAAGCTACATGACTAAACCATCAAGCTTAGAAAACAAAACTCCACCAAAATCATCCACCCGAACTACAAATGTTCTCCACTATCTCAACCACTGTAGTATTATAAAATATGAGGGAGACATTTGCAGTACTTACCTACAGGACACTGTTCTACGCAAGCATCTCTCAGCCAAAATCCATTACACTTCATGCATCCTAAACGTTGTTCATTAGCTCTTAGGAGGCTGTATGCTGTACACATTGGGCACCTTGGATGACATGATCGACATACTGCAGCAACACTTGTGAATATTTCAGCGTACTTCGCAAACAAAGTGTTCGGTTGAACCACTTCAGTTGTTAAATAAGTTCCCGGTGGACAATCTCCTCTGATGCATAGCAAGGTAATTGTTGTAAGCGGGGATGATAAATCTATGTAAAAAAAAATAAAATCTGGAAAAAATTCTGAGGGTTTTTAAAATAACTCCAAAATATATTTGTTTTAGATTATTTAAATAAGGTAGCAAACGTTTCAGTAGAGCAAAAAATTCATAATTTGTATAGCCATCATTTTGAATAAAGTTTGTTGTATGTGGTTATCATTTTTCTGAAGTTGTAGCAACTGGAAAATTATTTATTGAAATAATCAAAGTGTAGTGAATGGGAACATAAGGGGGGACAATCGAATTACAGAACATCTTAGTAAAATCTGAAAACCATACAGTATATACTTAATTTGCAAAATGTCAATAAATCATCTCAAACTTTACTGTTTCTTGATTTTTAACAGCCATCTTTCAATGTTCTTGTCCTCTTCTCATCGGTTTTCTTAATCTTTTGCTGCCAGGTACTTCACTTTCGATTGATGATACATACTACTTATATCTATCAACATCAATAGCACACACCACAAAAGTACTAATCTTTTCGAGTGGTTTAGCAATTAGCATATTAAATTCTCGTTGCTGTGAACAGAAAAGCATAATCTATGGTATGACTACGGTTCGAATTTAATAAATCTTATCTTCAGATGCTGCTTCAGATAGTGCTTGAAACAGTCTTAAGTTAAATCAGTGGATTAGGAGAAATATAACTAAGATTCGGTATCACATGTTATTCTTTCAAATGGTTATCAACTAGTATTGGTTCATGACATAGGCCCAAACGCTCTAAAAGCTATTGGGATGAATGTTCAGTTAGCGGACAAAATATCATTAATTCTGATGCATATTGTTCAGAAATATTAGGTAAAAAAACTATCTAGTATAAATTAAACTAACCTGATATTTCCGTATTCATCTGATTGAAATGTGACTGTACAACAAATTTCTCGCATTTATTACACCCTCCTTTTCCTGGATGACGACCAGGACCAGTGCATACCGGCTGTTTTGTTAACTGACGTTGATGACAATGTGTCTGACATGGCTCACAAATTCTTCTGTCCATATTTAGATAAGTGTTTGAATGACATTCTGAAACACACTGACCTTCTGACTGAAGATGTTTTTATTGGAAAATAAAAGTTTAAAAAGATAGTACTGTCAGTGCTTAAAACGAATTCCGGGTTAAGTCTGTCTCAAATCAATCCTAATTTTGATAATGATGAAAGTGTAAAGGAAATGACAATCATATGCCATCTTAAATGAATTCAGTATTTCAAAAATAAAAACCAAACGAAGTATATCAAGTAATCTCATTTATATCATTTGTTGGCTCCACTTATTTCAATTAAGTGAATAAACTGATAGGCTCCTGTATGGTTATCCAGAACTATCTCCAGTCCACATTTCAGTTAACAAAAAAAGTCTCTCCCCACAGTTAAGCAGCTAAGAAACAACAAAAATAGAATTTTTTATTGTAATCTTAATATATTTACAGTGTGGTGATCAAAAGAAGATGGAGAAATTTTCGGTATGGGTAACTGTTGTGTTAAACTTACCCAAGCTGTTTTACATGATCCAATACACTCATGAGCACCAGGTCCTGTACAGGATTTGCCGCACTCTGGATGACACGGGACACAAACATACTCAGTTTCTGCTGTATGGTAATTTAGGTGAAAATTTTTAGTCAGAGAATTGCCAAAATAGTCATTCTTCTTGTTAGACATTTGGAGTTGTTTTTCCCATTGTTCAGACATATATCCTGTTAAGTTACTACATGATTGAACGCATGTATATAATCCCGCTCTACGATATGAGCAGCGAACACACTGATCTGGTCCTGGTCCCCAGCATCCATACTCCTTCTTGCATGCAGGATGACACACGTAGTTAAGAGATTCTATAATAACAACAAACGTAAGGTAACATTCAATGTCTTACTTAATCTGTAATAGTAAAACCAAATTTCTGGTTTACAATGAGAAAGTAGAAGCACTATAGGAATAACAAGCTCAGTTTAAATTAAAAGAGATCCATAGATTTCTGTCTGTGTTTTGAAATCAAAATCTACCTATATATCGTGCCCAAGATACAAAAGCCTGTAATGGAATAACAACAGAAAATTTTAATATAAATTTTAGTCAGTAGTTAAGACGTTTATCATCAGGTTGATGATTAAAAATCAATCTAATTGTTTTTCATCCACAAGCAGTTAAATAACCCAGTTGGTTTTTACATTTAATGCTGTAAATGTGACTTAGTGTAATGTATACGTTCTTTTTCCTGTGAAATGTCTCATGATGGTTTCGGTGTATCTAGCCGATAATGAATAAAATATGACCAACACAACTCAACCAAATGTGTATGATGTTTTACTTGATTTCAACCAACATTTATTTGTAACAGCAACCTCTTGAATCCTTCTCTGCCTTACGAGATTTTAATATATTCCTTACAGAATAGTACACTACAAGAGTTACATAGAATGAACATAAACTCCGGGTGACCGCGAGTTTGATTATAAACGAAGCTTGTGACGTAATGAAATTGTGCAAAGCTAGCGTAAGGACGGAGAAGCCTGGTGGTTGCGACGTGCTAACGAGTTAGAAACAGCAGCCGCTTCCGGAAGCCCTGTCAACTCATCCGACTCACTGGCAGAAAGATGTCTGGTATGAATGAAACAATCTGTGAAGCCATTGGGATGACAATCACTAACGTCTACCGATGTCTTGGTCGATGTTTCGAGTTTTTCTAGGAGCAGTTCAATTAGCATGTTGCCCCGGCGAAATCGATCAGACTGCCCTGCTCTCCATGGATGATGACAACTGATGCACCTAACGTGACGGAAGTCCGCAAGGAGCCCCAACACTTGAAGCGCCACAAGTCACTATGTCTAGATGACTTAACACCGAGATTTCTTATTAATGGAGCTGACCTTCTGATTAAGGAGCTGACTGAGTTGGTTACAAATATCTGGCAATTAGAGAGTGTTCCAACCTCGTGAAATCAGTCAGTAGTTATCTCTAACTCTAAAAAGAGTTCACGTCATTTTTGCAACAATTATCAGGGTATAAGTCTACTTCTGATCGCGTCCAAACTATTAGCCTCTGCCATATTTCGCAGATTGTTCAAAGCCCTGGAAGACTGACTCGCAAGGGGCAAGTTTGTTTTCTCTGTCTAGTTGATGGCGCTTTGATGATATCTTCACCCTCCTCTAAATGTTATAAGACTTCCATACTTATTGAAAGCTAAAAATCGTTGTGTTTCTTAAGATCAACTCCTGCTTTGATTCATTAGATAGAATTGTTTCTAGGATTGTCTATTGAAAAAGAATGTGCTTGAGAAGTCTGTTAACATATTGAAGGCTCTATATGCTAACACGTCATGCAGAATGAAAACATACGACCACCCCCATCCACTGTCCCATTCAAGTAGTGGGGTTAAGCCGGGTCTCACATTTTCACAATTCCTCTTCAACTTTGCCATCAATGACGTTCTAGAAACAGCTTTGATGGATGTAGGTAATGGTGGTGAGGATCTGTTGAGTGGAGAAAAACTTTCTGACCTTGAGTATCCTGATGACATTGTCTTACTGCGCGATGATACCCAAACTATCCAATCCACACTTAGTCAGTTGCCAATCAGTGTCCGTAGTTATGGCATTTGATTTGCACCTTCCAAGTCCAGAGTACTCTGACAAGACTAACAGGACTCGATGCCTACACTCACTCTTGGTAGTGAGCAGTTAGAAGTAGTTGAGAAGTCCGTGTATATGGGTAGTTGTGTAAGTGCTGGTGGTGACATGAGTAATGAGACCAATTCATCTATAGTAAAAGCCAGAGTGTCTTATACCAATCTAGGTCATGTTTGGCGCCTTTGTTATGTTAGCCTGGCTGTAAAAGTTCGGATTTACAACGCGTAGGTGAAAGTAGTTTTGCTATATGCTTGTGAAGCCTAGCCTTTCTGAGTTGATGTTGGACAACTCTGTGTTTGACCACCATTGTCTCTGAAGGATTGCTGACATCGAGTGGCAACACCATGCTAGTAATGAGGAGGTTCGAAAACATGTGTTCGGGCACCATCTCGAAACACCGACTTTGGTGGCTTGGGCATGTCCTACGAATGAAAGAAAGCTGTACATGACTGGGATGTTTTGGTCTTTTACCACTCCCTGGTTGGGGTCCTAGAGATAGTCCAGGACAGTGGTTAGAGACGTTATCATAAATGGCTCAGAATAGAAGTGGCGATCCTGCTGTAACTTTCTTCACAAAAGTGCGAGTCATTTCTTTAAATGAAAGAATTCTCTCTGGTTGCATTTTTCCCAACTGAACTGCTTCTTCCATTATTGTTAATATTATATCACTCCTATAAACCAATTTATGTTCATTGTCGCTCTTTTATTATACTCAACCTTCATTCTCTATCCCTTAACAACCGCTTTCTTATTGGTGCACCCTTAAACTAATGTTTATAAGCCCAAATAAATGATAATAATAAACATAAATACATAGTAACCGAAGATATAAGTGCATTTTAAATGTCCGTAACTTCATTTACTAAGTTTTCTCCACACCATCAGTGCGCATAATTTGGACACTTATCAACAATCAATAACACTAAAACTTGATCATATTAAACTGAAGTAATAAATTAATAATTTGTTAGGATCAATAGTTGATTACATTTATATTTTTTAGTAATGTATCTTCAGAAATAACAACTTTACGTTTTAATTATCCACCTTGTAAATCGGGAAATTCAGTTAGATTATTAAAGTTTGCAAACTAATAGGTAACTGCTTCTTAGTTTGATTTAATTATATTATCAATGACTAAAAAGAGTGCCATGGTCCACACAAACTATGATTATATATATATATATATATATATATATATATATATATATATATATATATATATATATGCAAAAATCTTTTCCCATTAATGTTTGAATCCTGTTCCTTGAACTTACTGAAACATTTAATTTGCAGGATAATAGACTGCCTCTCAATACGTTATGGACTATGACACAATGTATATGTGGTTAGAACTAAATGTCTCAGTGACTAATAATTCAATCGAGTAAGGGTCTTACAAAGGGTCTCAAGAAGTTTAGTCACCTGTAATATCTTGAACTACCCATCCTGAACCGACAAAGATTATTTAGTTATTACACAAATATAATCATCAAGTCAGAAAAGCAAAGATTTCATATGTCAAGGAAGTTGGCATTTGACAGTATTCTCTGGGTTTTTTTCTAAATTCACGTAACATGAAGCATACGATAAGTTTTAACGTAATAATTCAACGAATCAGTAATAACAAATTTAACAAATGTGAACATAAAATTTTAAAAATCAAATTGTGTTAATCACAAGGACAATGAATGTGAGGCATAATTTATTCGTATCAAAATGATCTTACCACAATAGTTGTCACTTGGACCATCAATAACAGTAATTTCCATCGAATTTGTTTGATTCAGTGTGCTAAAGACACTTGAGTGTGCTAAAAAGGAAGAAATATGAACGTTAGAATGAGTGCAGTAAAATTAGATTACATGCAATTTCAAGTTCAGGTATTTCATAAAATAATTAAAGGTACTTTATGAATAGAGGTTTTGGATAATTTGTTTGACTTGTTTTGTTACCATGAAATTTTAAATCTTTTTTGTTAAATATAATGGTGATACTATAATACGGGGAGGAGCAAATAAAAAAGTTAAGATGATTTCGACATTTTGAACCCGTTTTCAGCCACTGAACAGAGTCTGTATATATCAACAATACTTTACAACAGAAGTAATGAAATTTGTCACAGTCCAGTAATTGGTTTGAAGAGGTTTATTAGTGATTCAAGACATTATTTCATCAATCAGGTTGCGAATATATCATTTTTTATATCCTTCTCATATCGATGACTATTTCCATAGAAACCTCACCATCGCCAACAAAATTAATGTTACTTATCTCGTTAAAGAGTAAAGGAGATGAAGTTATAAGATAATTATATGCGTAAGCCATGCATGAAATTCGTTAGCCAATTTACCATCGCTAGTTTGCAGCTCACCTATTATTCGATTCACCATTAATATTTTGATTTATTTGGCGTTTTACTGTAAGAACAAATTCAGTTTTTAAGTCATATTTAAGATATAAATAGAAAAAGGTGAGCATCTGACAGTTGAGCATTGTCATTTTGACTATATTATAATAAGATTGTTCTTTTAATTTTTAAACATTCTGAGCCCTATACAGAGTTATTTTATTCAACACTTTTTGTGATGTAAGATAGTTTACTCCTTCGTGAATTTGGCTTAAAAACACGGAAATAATTTTCTCCATTCTTATTGACTCACTTCTAGAATATAATTTAACCCATACAATAATGATAATAATCCCGTCTCATATTATTATCATGTATACCTAACTCATATTGTGTGAGCCTTTTATTTTAGCTGTAAATATACTCAACAAAGATTATTACATAAATGTAAGTGATATTTGATCGTTAATATAAGTCATGACCTCATCAAGTAAGCACCAATTTAATAGCTGAGTGTAATGGTATTTATGTTAAGAGATCTACGGCAGAGATTTCCTAAGATAGGTTGGAGATAGACAGGTTTTGTACGTTTAGTACTCAAGTGATTTTGAAAATTCAACTTATATTTATCAGAAACTCTGAGGATAAAGTACCACAAATGCTAATCCTGGTGAAACCTACGAATCCCCAAATCCTCTTGTTTAATGTTATTTGAACATACTTTACTTGCAATATAAATCTAAGTCGGCATGCTGTAAAACGTGTTGCTCCAGGTCAATATCAAGCTCCCGAGCGTCGTTGCTATCTTGATGTGGTGGTCGGACTTGCCTATCGTGACGAAGCAACCGAGCTATACTGGCTGGAACAAACGTTCCTCTAGGTCCTACCATAGCAGACAGGTCGGTAGAAGGGCGGTAAGACTAAAAGCAACAAATCCAACAAACCCCACAAGGAGGGGTGGGGTTAGAAAAGGTCGACCCTAAAAATGCCCACCTAGCCAACGATTCTAGTGAGCGAAACACTGTCCCAGGTCTACTGAAACCTCGCTCCAAACTACACATTGGAGCCTTCAACGTACGCACTCTATGTCAAACCATTCACCAGGCCTCCTTGACTAAAACCCTAGAATCTCGTACCATTGATGTATGCTGTGTCTCCGAAACACGAATACAGAATCCTAGTGTGGTAATTCACTTGACCTCACCTCGGGAAGACGGAGAGCCGACGAGATACACCCTACATGTATCTGGCGACCCGATGGCCAGTTCTCGTGAACTGGCAGGTGTAAGCATAGCACTAAGCATGAGGGCAGAACAAGCGCTTCTAAAATGGATTCCCGTTAACAGTCGTTTATGTGCTGTTCGGCTAAACGGCTCCCTAAGCACTCGAAAGGACAGGGACACACGTCGTTATCTTTTTGTCGTTTCTGCCTACGCCCCCACTGACTGCAGCTCAGATGAAGTGAAAAATGAATTTTACAGAAAGCTCTCTGAACTTCTTCAGAAAGCTAAACGTTCAGACACACTACTCGTAGCAGGCGACTTTAATGCCCAAGTAGGTTGTTTAAACCAAACAGAAAGGCATTTATGTGGGTATTTTGGTATACCGGCACCGCGAATAGATAATGGTGATCGTCTGCTGCAACTATGCTCAGACAATCGTTTAATTTTAGTAAACACAAATTTTAAGCATAAGGAGAGACATTGTCTAGCACCGACCACATATTCACCATTCGTCAGGTTCTAGAACATAGGAATACTTATCGGCGTCCGACAATGGTGGTCTTTCTTTACTTAAAAGCAGCATTTGGCTCGGTAGACTGCGAGATTCTGTGGCAGTGTCTTTCATTGAAAAGCGCACCTCAGAAGTACATAAACCTTGTAAAGGCTCTTTACTCGAACACTACTAGTTGAGTGAGAGCTTATGGTGAATTGTCATCTGATTTTGCAACCTTAATTAATGTCCGTCAAGGCTGTCCACTTTCTCCATTTTTGTTTAACTTCATCATAGACCTACTGATGAAAATAACGTTCTCGTTGACTGAATTCTCAGGCATTGATCTCCTTTCAGGAGGTCCACTTAGAGACTTTAAATACGCAAATGACATAGTCCTGTTTGGTGAAGACGCTGATAAAATGCAAAATCTTTTAGTAGTACTGAGCAACAATGCCAGAATGTTTAGAATGCGCCTCTCTCCCTCTAAATGCAAGTTGTTGCTTCAGAACTGGCCTGCTTCAGCATCTGAACTAAGGATAGAGAGTGAAGTAGTCGAACGTGTTAACAACTTCACTTATCTTGGAAGTCTGATCAGCCCTAATGGGTTGTTGTCTGACGAAATCTCAACACGGGTTCGAAAAGCGCGTTTGGCTTTTACCAACTTATATCACCTATGGCGAAGGCGAGATATCCGTCTATCAATAAAGGGACGTTTATACTGCGCGGCAGTCCATTCTGTTTTAATTTACTGCAGCAAAACATGGCCATTGAGAGTAGAAGACACTCGTAAACTACTAGTATTTGACCACAGATGCCTTAGAAATATTGCTGGCGTCTGCTGGGATCACTGGGTAAGTAACAGTGAAGTTAGACACAGGGTATTAGGGAATGATGGTAAATCAGTCGATGAGAATGTGAATCTTCATCGACTGAGATGATTGGGCCACGTCTTGCGTATGCCTGAACACCGATTACCAAGACATGCAATGCTAACCGGTGTTGGGGATGGTTGGAAGAAAGTTAGGGGTGGTCAAACCAAAACGTGGCACCAGTGCTTGAAGACACTATCATCTGATCTGAGCCATGTTGGTAGATGCAGACTACGTGGCTGGGGTCCACGTGACTATCGTAACCAATGGTTGGAGACTCTGGGTGACATGGCGTAGGTGCATACACTCTCTGTCTTCCCTTAAACTAAGAGATTAAAATCGCTTCATTTCTTTCTACATACTAAATCTTTCTTCTTGTACTATATCCTTATATGCAGTCTTTCTTTTATATGCTACCACCATTGACTTAACTATTCCTGTGAAAAAGATGATGATTTCAGGATGCTCATATGATCATATGATTCCAGTTTAGTTTCAATCTGTAATATTAATTTGAACCAGAGGATTTTGTGGTATCGACAATTGTTAAGTTGCTAACTTATTCGTCTTTAGTTTGATTAATCCAAATAAGTGAAATGAAAACTTAATCATTTTCAAGAAACAATATAATAAACCAGAAATACTTAAAAGGGTTTCGCAAATGTAAAAAGCTGTGATAATCAGCCTTTCTTCGAGGTAGGTGGGTTTCAGAAATTAATAGTACAACCCATTCAATTAATTATTTACGTTGAATAGGGATGAAAGTGACTAATTGATATCTTAAGGAAAGTTATCAATTATCACTGATCATTACCAAAATAACCTCTCGTTAATGGTTTTCATGATTTAACGACGCAATATATTATTCCTATATGTAAGCAAACTTATTCCTAACCATTTCTTAAAGCTAATTAATGCCATGAAACCATAAAAACCCATGGTCCAAATTTACCTGAATTAGTCCAAGGCAGTGAGGATAAATAACACAAGTTGGGGTTTTGGTGAAATATAACTCTTCCATGTGGAACCTGTCGAAGGCTTCTTAATCCAGGAAAATGCGCCTTACTGTTTATAATCATTATACTCACTCGTGCAGAAGGTACTGGAATATAAATAGAACAGAGAGGTAGAAAAGTTCGTGCATCTATATAATTTACTTATTAGACTGATAAACGAAATCCTAAAGGGCTTGTTGAGTGTGTGTTGGGAGTTTTTATCCTCACTATACGGTTGCCATGTCTGTATTAAACACTTTACCAAACTTCTTAAAACGAAGACATACGATTATGTGTCCAAACCGAGTTCATATTGAATAGCTTGGAAATCTGCGTGTTGGGTAAATAATATTTATGACTGATAGAAACTTATGTCATACAGTGAGAGAAAGAACAGCTAAAACCATCATTACTTTGATGAACCTATTAGCATGAAGTAGCGAAACCTTGGTTTAAACAATTTTCTTCGTTTTTCACTTACAAGAAAGTATAACGAGAAAACACTACTTTTATAGTGAAGAGTAGTATAACTCAGCAAGACTAATTTACTTATTATCTACTTGAGATAATTCACGAGAACATTGACGAACAATGAAATTCAGTTATCTTTGCAAATATTATTGTTTGAAAAAAGTACTTTTGAGATCGGCCACCCAATTTCTGAAACGTAAGATGCGATTACTTGTTCTGCCTTGATAAATAGTAAACGAAGCATTCTGTTTAATTGTGTGATTCATATTTCTGAATGTTACGTTTGACTGATAGTCATAATAATCATAATAAAAGCAATAGCAATCATAAAGTGGTACATGAAACATAAAGCCTCTATAAAGTGTCTGGTCCACAACATCAAGTTCCGTTTTTAAATTCTGACCCATCAGAAAATCCATTCACCAAACCTCCACAATTCCACCTGGGTTTGGTGTGCTTCAATGTACGGGAAGGAATTGTTAGATGATTTCTTCAGTTGTACATTTCTCGATGTCTACACAGTTTCTCATCTTAAGGTACGAATGAATCTTTCTATTTGTTCATTTGGTAGCGAAGTATGCAGTTACATATAGAGATGTTAAATATTGAAAGATTGGCAGAATCCTTGAAACAATGGTGCTATGGATTATGTAAGCAAGCTAACACGTTACAGAGTGATACAAATCTGTGTCAAACCATAGTTCGTACATGACCTAATGATTTAGAAAATAAGGTTTTAGACACTATTTATGACGATTTCTAAGAGAAACTAGGTATTAGATAAATGAAAGCTTTATGAACAAACCATCCAGCACAGAGAACACAAAAATCATCCACCTGAGCTACAAATCTCCACCATATAAAATATATGTTTTGAAGGAATATGTTTAGACGAAATATGTAAATGAACTTACGATAACCACTGACTTTCACAAGATTTTCAAGAAAACTAAGATTTTTCAGACTATCGCCAAGTAATTCCAAATCTAAATATATATAACCAGTTATTTCTCTTAATGAATGTAAAGCCCATAATTGACGGTGATCTGTGATTGGGATATGATCGGTTAGATCAGAACTAAGTAAATAAAACAAGAAATATCTGGGAATAATATAATGACAGCCATTTGCTGTTTCAAACTTTTCAACACTTACCAACATGTTCACAAAGTATATTAACTAAACCCATAAGTAATCAGTACAATTTGATACTATTTATAGACATTTAACGACAAAATTTATGGTTCTCAAAGTAGTCTACTTATCGCGATGTATAATGTAAAAAATCCATTTCAAAAATTTTATTATTCTTAAATATTATAAGTCGTTTATTGTAATTTCAGACTCAACACTTCTTCATATAGTTTTTCTCATTTATAAACTTGGATAAAGAAAGAACAAATTTCGTACCAGAATAATATAGATTCATTTATTTCATGGATTCTCCTTAGTTGTTTACAACTTATAACTATAGTATTAATCATTTAAACGAGGCAAGTGTACATATTTCGATTCATTGGAATGCAGAACTGTATTAAGTATGAAAATTTCTGTAGATTTAAAAATATCACATATTTCTGTGTAACAGTTTAAGAAAAGAGATCAAAATGATTAGAATACATGATCTATTTTACCTAAACTTTGCAGAAATAAGAAACGTTTCTTAAATGTTTTAAGCCTAATTATTTTTGATGCATTGTAACCAGGTACTTGAGTTATCGTTCTCTTTGAAGTAATCATCATGGAGTTTCGTAGTTTGTTTTATGGAGAACAGAAATTTGCAGTAGTAGTAGTTCCAAGCTCCGATTACTCTAATCAAGCACTATAATTAAGTCCTATGAGAGCATGAAAATTTGCAAACAACAGAAGAGATTTACATTTAAAAACTGGTATATGAAATATTTCACGTCTACGAAAAGTCAGTGGAAGTGAACAAATGTTTGAACTTCAAATTTCCTAAGAAAATTATGTAACTGAAATTATTACCTGTTTAGTTGGTGCTGATAATCAGAGAATTTCACTATTTTCTTTGCATTTGCACGAAGGTCAGTTTGAGAATAACTTTCAAGTTTCAGAACAAAGTTTCGTTCGTATATTCGGAGGGTGGCTATTATTAGGAATCTAAGTTATCCGTTTTATTTCATTCGGAACTCGGTAGTTGAACGTACATACATTCTGGTGTAAGTAGGCACACTGATTTTTCTAAATCCTGACGCATCGCCCACTTAACTACAGAGTTCAACCTGTCTTTAATTCGCTTAACGAGTATGGTAGCCATATTCCATATACGCTAAAAATCGTAATAAGGATCAGGATGGACTTTTGTCATAAGAGACTTGCTAAAATCCAGCTCTAGATATCAACAGCGAGATAATGTAGAGCTTAATAAATAGTAACTTTTCGACCAGTAGGCGTAAAATAAAACCTGAGGTCATTTTTTATTTGTGTTCTGTAGCTCATGTCACCAACATATAGTTTGTCTCCATCTCTTTGTCTAAAAACTCCCATTTTTCCATAAACGCTCTAACTAGAATTAATTCATTTACTTTTAGGTCATTTCTGAGGCAAGTATGTGGCATCTTTAGACTAAAATAGCCAAACCAGTGTCCCATTTCTTCAGCTGATTTAATGTTCTACCGAATTTAGTGCTCACTAAGGTTTAGTCTAAAACGTAGAAAGATTATTGGTTAAATTTAATCGTATTCTTCCACTATCACGACTATAATCTAATACAAACATATGCCTAGTATTTTCGTTTTAAAATAAATAGGAAATTCCACCTATATTCTACGTTACTAACGTATTCACAGTACTGTTTAGAATTTGTCAGACAGGAAAAATACTACGGCAATTAGATTGGATCTATGTTCACAATAATCGTCTAGATCACCCATCTACGTACCTTCAAATGGTCTACATAAGCACTGACAGTTTTATTTCTTTTAAATAAAATAACATGAAATCAACACAAGAAGACAATAACCAACCTTGGATTAAATGATTCTTTTGTTAGGATCAAATTACCTTCTAGTATAGTACAGTTAACTAATTGATTTAAATTTCTTAGATCAAAATTACTCATTTTACGTCCATTTTTCGTTTCCTTATCAGTGATTTTACAAGCTTAATAGGAAAATGAAGACAATGAGTTAATGAACGAGATGCGTGAATTTATATATAAATTGTGCAATAATAGTCATTATTTCTTAAAGATGAACTTTAAATTATACTAACAAAATTCAAAACTGATATTTATAAACAAATGCTTATGGACTTCATTGTCAGTACGGATGGAATTCTAATGGGTTATAGAAAAGAACTGTTAGACAAAGTAATATTTCAGTCGGCATTACCGTTAATTGCCTCACTTTATTTGACTGACATTTTAGTGAGATTGTGTACCGATGGATGTCCGACCATCATTAAAAACTTGGAAGAAGTGGATGGCCGTTTCGTCCTAGTATGAGACTATACAGCAGTGAGCATGGACGACCCCGCATGCGGGAATCAAAACAACGGCTTAACGCGCGAGCGCTTAAAGTTTAGACCATACTAGGACGAAACGGCCATCCAGTGCTTCCAGGTTATCAATGGTGATCTAACATTGATCTGTTCATGGTTTCTGTGAAACTCAACAATCTCCACAACCCCATACTGATAACAGATATTTCTTGAAACATTCGAAATAAGTTTTGATACGTGTCATAGTTTTGAGTTTGGCTGTGATAAGTTTCATTAGCCTGAGCAATTTTATAGTTTGAATAGATGCACATTAGACAGGTAAATTCAACTCTAATCATAGTTAAACAACAAAATATAACGATGCATAAAGAGCATGGCATATGAGACACACTTCGTTATATATAGTGATACGCACTCGGTTATTATATTTTAATATTTTATGGAATTATAGTCTCACATAACTAAATTATATCCATTTACCTTAAATTTGGCTATTCATTTCGGTAACTAATTTGGATTTACAGTTGTTTTAAAGCGTATCTTTCTTTTACAGTTAAGCGATCAAACTCTTCATGCTTTTTGAAGATCTCTCACTGATGAAAAAACAAAATGTTTGGCTCTTATAAGCGAGAAACACATTGTTGTTGTTGTTACATAATTTTAGTATAGGTTGTCTATTGTCTGGCTTTTGATTTTCAGTTAAATAATTTATTTCATTGTATATCTCTTGAGTATTCAATACAAAGCATAATTTAAAAAATGGACTAATATGAAATCTTATTTCGCTGTCTTTGAGAGTAATTTTTTGTTTCATTGTTAACTTCATATAAATGTATTCATAGAGTAATTGAAATTTACTTATGTCAAACTGACATCTTAGATTTCATGTTCTTCAGATTCAATTTAAGAATGTATTTAACACTTGTGTTCATGAATAAATTGCAGCTAGACCAACATGGAATACCTGGATGGACTGGACGGCCAATTCGTCCTACTGTAGGACTCCTCAGCAAAGCGCAATGGATATAGTTTGTTTTAACTTCTATTGAACCGACTTAGTTATCGTTTAGAAAGTGTTTGCTCATATGCTAAATACAGGATTGTAGCAGTACGCTGGGTGGCACACATATAGTATTCGTAACTACTAAATCCAGCTGTAAGCGTTGAAATTTCAAGAAAAAAATGCTTTTATCGTGGTTGTTATACCATGCATATTGGAAAATATATAAATGTAAAATGTAAATTTTGGTTGATTAATTTAAATGACCGTTACAAAATCAAGACGGATTTTCTCCATATTCGATAAAACATTAGTGTGGATTCATGGATGTACAATGCAAATATATATATTTTATAATAAAGGAACTTTACAAATGTAATGGAAAATAAAGAGTGAATGTTAACCATGTACTATAACATATTTAGGAGTTAGCATCACTTATTATATCAATATAACTGCACACACAAGCCTATTCAGTGGTATACTAATATTTCATTACGCTATGTAAACTATATGAATCATGAGGGCTACATTTTTGGTTTATCTTCTCAAGTTGATTCAGAATCCGTTTAATGATAAGCAGATTTAAATTTTAACAACCTTTCTAAATATTGATGGATTAAAATCTTTTGATTGGTTATACGCTATATGAGAAGTGTTCTCACTCTATTTGTTCCGTAAATTTTGATGCAGATTTTTAGTTCGGTTATTTATCAACTGTGACTTGTTCGTCTAATTTATTTTGTATTCTTAATGTTTCTAGGGAATATGTTAAAGTCAAAGAACGTCGTTAAGTTTTCTTTCCATTTAAATTTGTAATATTGGATTTTGGATGAAACGTGTAGTATGCTTGGAATGTTTTCTTGAAGTCTACTTGAAATAAATCATACTTCCATTCTGAGGCTTTAAGCGTCACCCCAAACTGTTCACAATATTACCATTTGGAGTAAATGATTGTACATTCAGAAAGTTTTTTTTAAATTTGTTTCCAGGATAGAACTATACTACTTAAAGACACAGTGATTACCACGGAATACCTTCTAGTTTCTAATGCTTCATTCGCTAAATTCAAGTCTCTTTAAGCCAAGTAATTAAGCATTTATCCTAGTATTTTGTGATCATTTATTAACTTTAATTTCAATTAATCTTTTACGACATGAAAATGACCAAATAATCCATTTCAAAAACAAATAGTGTCCACTGTAAATAAACAAACATTCTATTTGAAGGTGAATGGTACTAATTCATCGAATATCCATTTGTAAAATAGTATTTGTTTATAAAAATACTACAAAAAAGTAAAATAAAAAAACTGACATTTTGGACATTTATCTTGGCATGGAAGACATACACGTCCATCTGTACTCATACTACCTGTAGAGCAATGAGTTACACATACATCACCTTCAACCATGAATCCATCTGGAAACCAAAATTAAATAAACAGAAAGTAGTCTGTGTTTTGGATGAAAATATATCGAGCATTTTGAATTTAAATTCAAAATACATGCTGCTTATTTTTAAACAGAAAATGCTAAATTCTTCCGAAACTTGACGTCAGGACTGCAATCAAAACAAATACATGAAAGAGCGCTGGAAATCAACCCACAACGTAAACGCCAATACTAATCGGGCAACAAAATGTTCGGCTTTGAAGATTATGCAACTTCGTTTCCGCGAAGTGTTACTTCACAGTAGTTAGTGCTGAACATTATGTCATGATCATGGTTTCCAGCATTTTAGAATAAATCACATTAAAAATTTAAAGTAGTGAAAAATCCTTTCCGAACAGCGTGACATGATTTACGAAGAGTTGTTTCACTGGTGAACGTCATACTAACCCGAAATGAGTGCATTCTGTGGAACAGCTATCTTAGGTCTGAAGTTCTTGAACACTAATTAAACAATGAACAAACCTGACGAATGATTTGGGCTATGTTACATCTAGTTGATTTTCGAATAAGTTTGCCAATTACTTATTCTTTGTCCTATGACGATCCAAATCAAAAGCCAATGTCCTAAAATAATTTGTCAGTGCAGATATTTGACTATTCCATTTGCGTATGGCATATGATGGTTTAAAAAGCACTTTTACTGTTCACATGAACAACATTTTTTCTTGTGTAAACAGAACGTTTTCTATGATCAGACACCAACTGAAGAAACATCAATAACTAGAATGCAATAGACACTACTTTCATCATGACAAGCACTTTTCAAAGGTGCACAGTCTTGACGCTATGTGGAATTTAATACGGTTCATTCAAAGTCTTAAGGAGTAAGGTACCTGTTTTGTCCTATAGCCCGACAAATATTATGTGACTAAATCGTTAACCAGAATACCGACTTCTATGACCTTGTTCATGTTCTAAACCAAAGGCATGTCAAATATCACCAGCAGCCTTGAGACAACTCTGAACCCTTATTGGCCCTTGACATAGAAGCTCCCTGCCTAGTCCTGCGCGTTGAATCCAGAACACAATATCCGCCTCCACTGTATGAATAATATATTTCAGATATACGTTGTTGATATACAAGCAGACCAAACCTCATTCACACCATGAAATGAAAAATAATAATTGTTCAAGATCAAGCTTAAAGGGACTGTGTATATAGGAGACTATAACTAACAGATTAGGGATAAATGAAGAATAGTAAATCGTATAATAGTAGCCAATAAATCAAATGAAAGCTTATGATAAAAGGGATATATTTATATATATAATCTAGTTACTTGATAATTATGCAATAAGAATATTTGTAATAATATTCCATAAATAATTTCTAACAGTTACCATTCATCTATTCTTCGTTTGGATATAACAATACCCTTAAATTTCTGGGTTACAATCTAATGTTTCATATTGTTCATCCCAAATCATTCACGATCTTTAACAAATCTCATCAGTTAGTTTCTGTCACATTCCAACTTGATTGCTCTTACTGATCACTAGGACTTTGAGAAATATATTTCAACACCTAGCAGCTCTTCAGGTGTGTTCCTATAGTTTATGGTAAATGGTGACCTGCAGTTGCATCCTCACGTTTTAGTAAAACTGTATAAATATTAGTTTAATGCTGGCTATGACCTTTAAGGCAGTAAAGACTTACGTAACTCATAGGTCTGTACGATTCCCGACTAGTTATCTCACCAAATACTATAGTGTCGACGTAATATTTCCGTGAACAGTTTTGTTAGGTCGCAATAACATCTAGAAGTACTTTTGTAATACTTGTTTTTTTTTCAAGCAGTTCGTGTCGTAGTTAGATTTCTAACAAATTATATACAAAATAGGTTTTCTTAGGCTTAATTTTTATAACTAAACTACGTAGAGTGACAGTGCATTGTCGTTTCGAACATACATAAAGTTATTTCCGAATATGATTTTACAAATTTATGACTTATTTAATATGCGAAAATTCCTAAAGTAATATTTAGAATGTAGAAATGTAAGTATTTCAATTGACGATATTATAGTTTTGAATGATAATTTAAACATACACATCCAGTTCCTTTCATGAATCTTTAATACAGTATTAATAAGATTACCCGTAAAGACGAATTTGGTGGACTCAGTATCTGTAGGACTTCCAAACACTATATAGGAGTGTTAGCGGGACATAGACTGGATTAAAGCATGCTCAATGCACGATTGCTTTGGTGCATACTGATTGACTAATTCTTATCCAACCAGCACTAGGCGATAGTTGGAGAATACTCTAGAATCTTCTCATGTAAAAACTATAAATATACTAACGTTTTCCCTATTATGCTTCTTACTTCCATCTAACCTTGTTATTTGGAATATAATCTCTTTTCTATTCAACCGTGTTCTGATTTGGAGACTTGTCGAGTGAATCGGTGTCCGAGAATATTAAGCAGTAGGAATAGCTGGGTCATAACCGTAAGGAAAGAGATTATAACAAGAAGGAACCAAAAACAAACACACTTTTCTTTTGTCGCCAAAAGCACAAATTTATGTTAGCAAGTTTTTATGGGATTCCGTATAACAGCTGTTTAATGTGCTAGAAATCTAGAAAATATCGCTAGCGGTAAAATGAAGATTGTATTATAAACCGACAGTAATATTAGTTTATACCGATAACCTACCTGGACAAACCGATAAGCATAGATTTCCCAAGCGGTACTTGAACTCAGGATTCGAAATTAACTTGCCTTCATGAATTATTGTTCTAGATGGACAGTGTGCAACACATGTGCCAGAATTATAATATTCTTTACAACTCTGTAACAAAACGGCATTTAGAATAAAAATCAATGAATTCATCTAACTTAAGAATGTGAAATTAATTACCGGGAAAAAGCTTTGAGATCAAAGTATCTAGTTACAAAGAAAGTCTACTTAGCCTTGTCATGTTTAAATATTACGTTATACAACAGGTTTTTTAAATCCATACTTATTTATCACACACGGGAGTTATTCACTTCTTCTTCTAAGCTACACACAACTCCAAGTGCTTGTTGTGCTAGACAATTTTTACTGAAACGCTATGAATAGCTTGTTGTGTAAATATACTGAACTAATCAAATTAATACCATCACGAAACGAACCGAATCATACCATTAGTTGTAAATTTATATGGTTCCTTTGATAAATATCTTGTACGCATTTGAGTACTTCATTGAGTTCTTTATCGGTAAAATAACTTAATCACTAGTCTGATATTTTAGCAAAACGCGATAAGATGTACAGCTTGGTTTCTTCATTATCGTCAATTCATTAAGGTTCGTCTTCTTACCCTTCGACTCATATTTTGCATGGACACTTCGAAAACTCTTGCCAAACAATATAGAAATAAGACCATCTACCATGAATATGGATAAGTCTCTGGTTTAAACTTTCAGGTATTCGTTTCCGGTGAAACAAGTCATCAAAGTACTAGAATTAGATTCAGATAGTGATAACATATCACATTTAAGGTTGCAAAAAATCTGTTGTTTTACTTGTGTAGCATAATTAGTTTTCTTTCAAGTCTGTGTAAAACCTACACGTAGACAAAAGATCTAATAATGAAAAGCCGATCAACACATAACCAATCTCATCATACTGAAAAAGATATGATTGTGTCCTGCTTAAAAAAACAAGTATTTATATTAATTAAATTAACGCAATTATCTCTCTGAGAATAAAGTAAATAAACGAGGCCAGTTTACTGAGCTTCCTACATTCACATTCGTTGAACTGTAGGCATTTGGTGGAACCTTATATTTTTGTAGCAGATATCAAAATAAAACATGACTATTTTACCGTGGTAAGAGAATATCGTCATTTTTAAGTGATGAAATGTAACCGAAGTTATAGTTCATATTACGGCTAATAAGCTCAACAAAACGAACTAAAATATATACAGCAATGGAAATTTGTTTGTTACTGTTAATTGTTATTCACTGATCCTAGTTTTTAGAATAACAACATCAATTGGATTCATTTGATTATTGCCTATACTGCTTTACATAATTGAGAGGCTAAACGGATTTAGATTAAATTGAACAGGTAAGAACTGTTTTAAATTTTAGGGATCACCGAGAAAAGAGAAAATATTTCATTCTACTGAAAAATCAGAGAGTTAACTGAATAACAATCACCACTCAGCTGGTACCTTACAGTTAACTGTCGAAAGCTGAATTGTTCTTAGCTTCTTTTAAGACAATCAATCAACAACATATTTCATAATTAAAGCTAGCACAAAATCACTTTACACTTCTCAAGGCCATTCTGTACCCAGAAGAAACTATTCATTTAATTATTCACTTCGATTTTAGCCACAAAAAGGATGGTATAGTCAAACATAATAAAGTCATCGCAGGTGTTTCAACAACCTCAAATTGTTATGTATTCGTAATAACTCAGTTTATTTTTCTAATGTACCTGTAAGAATACTTTATTCATATTGGTTTTTCAGTAAATTACTTTACATCTCAGTAACTAATTAGACTATATCATATGTATAAAATCTTGAAGTAATCTGTTAAAACTATTTAATCTTATGTTTTACGTTTACGTTTGTCAATAAAATTTATTGTCAGCTATCCGGTGGTTCATTGGCAGATGATAGTTTATTGTTTATTAATTTAATGAATTTAAACACTAGTAAAATAAAAAAACAATTCAGTGCAGTTTTATCTACATATATGTTACAGAAATATTTAGAAATGATAGTCTGTATCTAAAAGGTAGTATATTAACACAAAAAGTTGTAAAACATGATAACTAAATGAAGCTTATTTTAAACATGTCATGTGTCAATCCTATGGAGGTTATGCAACATGAAGTACTGCCTGTAGTATCCTAGTATAAATAATAAAGTCAATATTCACAATAAACAATAGGGATAACAAAAATATTTTAGTTAAAGTGAAATAATAATTACACATTACTTGAGATCGAAGAAAATTACAAATTTTAGAAAAGAAATAAATACATTCAAATTTGTTTTCTCTATGTTATGTTTAGGATGCTTTCCCATCTTAAACAAACAGGCGTAGTGAACTCAACAATATATATTTTAAGATTTCTTTTATACTTGGCAATTGTTGTTATATTATTCTACAGAAATACAGCAGTTGTTATTTAATTAGTGAATAAGACAAAATATAGACATAAGGTTTAGCTGTATGATATAATTCCACATAATTATGAAAAACAAAAGGTTAGTATGACCAACCAATTATGACAAACCTAAAATCCCTAAGACTAAGTTAAAGCAATTCCATATTTTTGGTAAGTTGACTTATCCACATAATTATTTGAATAAAATAATTGCTAATCATCAAACTGATATTGTTAACATATTCATCCATAGTTTTCTTTCTTGATTTACTAAGACGGTAATTTTCATCAGCACACTTAATAGAAAACTACTTTTACTGCGCACATAAAAGTAGTGCACGGAAGGTTTATATATCAGTTATCTGATATAAAACACAAAGAGTCAAAGAGTTATAACGATCTACTTTTGAATTGTTACTCTATCCAAGTATAATGCTCATAAAACTTACGATCCTACAGTTTAATCAAAAGAAACAGTATAGTTGGTAATTTGGGGAATACAAAATAAAATAAGCGTATGATGGATTCTGACATTCATAAGGTTATTGAGGTTCGAATATGTGTTAAATCAAATATCTATAAAGCCGAATTCCATCCATTTATAAGAAGCATCATTCAAATGATAAAGGTGTATGGCAATTAATATATCTGAATCAAGATCCTTGTATTAATTCTAACCCTAAAAATTGGTTACAATAAGAAGTGTGGCTGTTTAGCTAAAATGAGCAAAGATAACACTATTTATGCAAAACTGTAGTGACGAGTCGTTTAAAATAAAATTAAAAATGTATTGCCTGGCATTAATAATCAAGTACTGTTTGCATCTTGGTCTTTTGAATTTAAAGATATTGCAGTAGCTTGATTTCAATCAAAAATATAATATTAAAAACTGCCTTTTAGAAATAACATCAATATCGAACACACAGGATTTCGCTCCAGAAAAATAAGATATTTCACGTCTAAACTATTCAAAAGGTGCTTTTGAAGTTCACAGGTGTTTTCTTTTTGATAGTCAAGTTAATATCGGTTAAAACTAACTGTATCGTCAGTGATCTGGAATTTTCCAAAAGAAAAAGTAGTTTCAGAGTTTATTAATTCATTCTGGTCATAAGGCTCAAAAATATACTATAGCCATCCCATTATATATTGAGTAAAGTTACTACAAGTCTACCTTTGGTCGTAAACATAATGATTCATTTGAAATATTTCATCTCTGTATTCATAAAAGCCTTTTATTTTTTAAACACTTTTATTGTTTAGGAAGATCATAATGTCTTTAACCTGGTGGAATTCCTTTTATCAACATCATATAGTGGTGTATTTCAAATGGTGAATAATATTGAAAAAGAATAGATCAGATATAGAAGAAAATGATTGATGAGGTGCATTAACTTTGATAGTCTTGTATAAAAGTCCAAGTAGATGAAATCAAAAGTCAGAGAGATGTTCCGATTAGTTATAAGGAACTTGTTTAAATTTAATTTAATAGACATTTTTCATATCGTTTTGATCAAAAGATAAATTACAACTGGTTCTTAGTAATTGTTGGTAGCTTAAAATCTATCTTTAATTATGAACTGTTCAAATAAACTGAGAAGACAAAAAGTATGTCGGAGAATATTTGTCAATTATAATCCAACAAATTAGATATCATAATTCACACGTTTGATAAATTTTCATAACGCGATTTTATAAATGAACTTGATTTGTAAGAAAACTATGAAAATTGTAGGAAGGATAACAAGAAAAACTCAGATTTTTTTAGTCCAATTTGTAATGTTTCTGAACGGTCCGGTTGTTGATACTGTTGAGTGAATTTCGATCAGTCTTAGCTGGCTAATGAGCTTCCTGTGAGTGCTGACTTGCTGTACTCATCACTTTACAATTCTTTATAGAATAGATAGAATGAAACTAGCAATGTTATGAAAGAGACGCGTTTCGTCGTACTTTAAACCCTTTAACTGGATGTACCTACATTCTCAGAGTTGATGTTCAGTTCAGGATTCCAACACAATATCTTACACTTCGAACGCTAACGCATTAGCCACTTTGCTATCGAGTTCAAACAGCCACTCAGTTGTGTAGTAGGTACGAATTATAATTCGATTATAATAGTTTTGGATTATTCGGTTGTTAATGCTTCTGAGTGAATTTTGATTAATCTTATAAACTGAACTGAAATTTATGGCAATTCGGACTTCATAGCAGGGTGGATAGCGCGTTGGCGTTTGCAGTGTAAGTTACTGGGCTGGAAACCTGAACTGAACATCAACTCTGAGATGTACGTACATCCAACTAAAATGTTCAAAATATTAGGGAACGGGCATCCTTGATTGCACTGTTAACCACGTTTCATCTGTTCAGTTAAAACTTTCATTATCTACTAACACTAATCTGAAATATTTTCGATTATAACCATTGTAAAATTTTTGTATTTATACTGTAGTGTATTTATGGTAATTAGGTCTAAACCTCTATATTCATGAAGAATTTCACGTCGAAAAACTGCTTGCACTTTCGAGAAGATTTCAATGTGCTGTTGTCAGGACAGAGTTGATTACTTGACGTTCGATTCTCGTATTATTTGAATATAACTTACCAGATTTTACTACGACGAGTACTAACATATTTGTATATTATCCCATCCCTAACAACGAACGCTCCAAAGAATCAGATATTCGCTTAAAGTTTATAACATATATTACCGGTAGCAGTTTATTTTACCAGACCAAATAATTCTTTCGACAACCAACTCTATACTTTGGTACCAGGTTCTTTGGATTACAATTATTGTATCGTCTCCAAAGGTGCTGTACTATTCTACAGAAAGCAAACTAAATCTAATCGACGTCCGAGGATGGTTTATCTATCATATTACATATCACATCAAAGAAAATGCTTTCTCTGACTTTATGTTCTTCAGTTAAATACAAAATGTGATTTGAGTACGCAGTTTATGTACCGCTTAAGCCTACTATGAATAAATTTAATATTTAGATTTTATTCAGTATATATATTCCCCTATCACAAATTGTTCACAACGTCTTTGTGTTATAAATTTACGGTACCACATGTCACTTTATAATCAATATTCATTGTTTCCCATTATATGAGCATATCATAATTCCACTGAGAATAACCGTTTCTGGTAAATGATTTAAGATAACACAACCAATGAATACAGTTTTCAAATTATGTTTTAATAATAAATATAAGTTAAATGTACTCTAATATATTGACATACCACACATTGTGAAGCTAAAGGTCCAGTACACCCTCCTAGACATTGTTCGTGACAGCATGAATATGAATTTCGTATTCTTAAACACCGATTACATAATAAATTTTGACATTTAGATTCTAAACAAAAGAAGAGAAGTTAATATACAGGGATTTAGCTTTTACAGTCCACAACAGTTCCACCTAAGTGAAAAGCAAGAACCACATCAAGCTTCAAAAGCAAAGATCGTTTGTTGTTATCTTCTAAGATGAAAGCATCTTCAGGCACAGAATACATAATATTTATGTCATTTTAGTTTTAAGTTGACTAAGCAAAACATAAAAGCTTAAAAACAACTTACGGTGTTGACAGTCTGACAGAGATGGGCCCCAACAATATGTGTTGTTGTTTATCTTTGGGCAAAGTTTGGAGCAGGCTGTTATAAAAAAATAAGATAATGACTATTATGTGATAATTTGATAAAGACGACGTAAAGTTTCTACTTAAATGTATCATTCACAGTTCAATTAAAAATGATTTATGTATAATCAGTAGGTACATAACGGAAATTTAGATTTTATTTTCACCGATAAATCAAAAATGACTACCTTTTCAATATGTTAATAACCATTATAATAACAGAGACTGTTATGTATAAGAAGAAGACTTAATACGTAGTTATAACTACCAAAAGATTGTTAGGACTAGCTTAACTGAAAAATTTAAGTCATCAGTGTTGTCACACAAGTAAAAACTTATGGAATTTCTGGGTAAAAATAAGATCATCACCGTTTGTATCTCGAATAATTCAAATAATTTGGAGGTGAATTTTATCACGAGCTGACAGCAGCCGAAGATTTAGAGTCGCGGAACCACGAATCAGGAAGCTCAAGACGATAGAAGAACGTTCCTTACTTATCGATGATTGAAAATGTAAATCTTTGAATAATTACTCACTGGGACTTTAGTTCATAGTATTGTACACTTAATCGCGAGTATTGTGATGAACCCCCAGTGTTCTGTTTAGTTAGTATTTGCTATTGTTAGGATTTGTAAATCCCTATATATCCACGTGTGAACATTTCCTTACTTGTTATTTGATTGACAAAAAGGAGTGGTTATTTTGTCAGGCGCTAGGTTCCAAAACGCCGTTGCCTACTAAAATATTAAATTTATAGTTTTCAAACTTCATCTGAATTCAATTCATCTTTTCAAAATTTATATCTCTAGGATCGAAGGTATAGTCTAATCTTAAAGATCATTTAGATTCAGTTTTGGATGTATTTATTACTTCACTCGAATGGTAAATAAACATTATGAGATTATTTTTTCTGGTCTCCATATGAACTTCTTAGTGAAAAAAGAACAAGTAAGTGCACTGACGGACTATCGGTTAGTAACGTTTGTCTGCAAATAACTTGATTTTATCTAGGGTTGGTGTAACTTTTTCATAAGACATTGGTGTAGTACAAAACAACATTGTAACATCTTATTTTCACAAGTGAAATTGAAATGCTAAACGTTAACTTTCTCAAGTAAATGCAATGTTCCTTCAGTTACGGTTTCAACAAGCTTTTATTATACTAACTCGGTCGAATTCTCTGTTTATTGAAAAAAGATAAGAAATAATTTTTTTAAATCCTGAATTAAAGTCTTCGATAGAACGAAAGTAATATCCATTTCTAACTTCTTTATTTACAAATTTTAAAAAAACATCACATGTAGACACATGCTGGTTTATTTACAGCAGTTTCTCCTTAATTTCACTTTTAATTTCAAAAGAACCATAGTGATAATTTAATCCACAAACCAAATAAGAAATAAACATTTAAGTGATTAAAAATCTAATCGCGTAATAATACTATGATAGTAATCTAAAATATGTTCGAAAATCCTTTATGTAATGGTTTTAAAATGAAGAAAAACGCGTTAATTAAGTTCTATTACATAATATTAGCACGAATTCTTAATTTAAGGGAAAAATACCATGATCAACTGTATCATTATATATATATATATATATATATATATATATATATATATATATATATATATATATATATATATATATATAGTTCACTTGCTCAACAACTGTTAGCTTCATAACTAATTAAACCACTTTAACTTCGCTTTTATGGGAGAACAGATTTAATGAATGAATAATAGCTAATTAAATGATAAAACACTATTGGAGAGTATTGAGGATAATAATGATTAGAACGGAAGGAATGGTATACTAATGGATAAATTATTCAACTTATGTTGCGGATTTGTTTGCTTTTCTCGCGCTGAACTTTAATATCTGTAATCCTATTTTTATTGTTTAAAACATTTTCATTATCACGAGTTATTTTCGAATACTGTTTTCGAATTTTTCATATAAATTGGCTTATTGAGTTGATGTATAATTGGATTGGGATGTTTAAATTATTTTATCTTTATATTATGTTCAGTTTTAATGTTATTTAAATCTCTAAAAGACGTTAACTTGCATTCACTAAAGTTATCCTTTGGATATTAGTTATTCTGAGGTTATCCGAACTTTCTGAATCCATAAAAATGATTTATATGTAAACAAGGAGGCTAAACATAGTTTATTCATACCTTATCGAAATAGTTGCAGCTGAGAGTCAGTAGTAGTATGGTGAATGAGAACAACATTGGAGACAACCAAATGCATTTGAGTACAAAATTACAAAATATCTTAGTAAAATCTGAGAACCATACACTAAATGCTTCATTCGCAATTGTCTCAGACTTCATTGTTTCTTTGTTTCCACATCAATCCCTCTCTGTTCTCGATCTCTCTTCTGCGATCTTGTTAACCTTCTGCCACCAGACACTTCAGTTTTGATTGATGATACATACTGCCTACATCTATCGACATCAGTAGCACACACTACAGTAGTAGTTTATTTTCGGGACCACACAACTCACATAAAATATTTTTCTTGCATTTAGACGAAAAGTGTACGTTTAAAATCTTCCAGCTGAGGTCTAAACATAAGTCAATTTAGGAATGAGAAAAATCTTTGAATAAGCAACTTATTTTCAGGTTTATTTGTAAATGTATGCGACAAAGAGCACTGAGATAACGTGTTAATCCATTTGGACTAAGTAATTTGACGTTTCCACTATGGAGCACTATTAGTTAGATAGAATCACAGAAAGGTTTGAATAGTTTTAAACACGTAATTACATTTACAAAGATAGTGTCATGCTATTTTATATATTGAAGTATGACAGTTGGTATCTTGGAATGACTGAGCTTAAATGCGTTGTTTATTGGATATGTCGATTTCTTCATGTCGCCGTGAATGCCAATAAAATGAAGGATGAATAGTATGAGTTGAGCAAAAACATAATATTTTACTCCTTTCTAGTAACCGCCAATAAAGTGTGATAAAACACTGTGGCAGAGGACAAATCGTCTTGAAGTTATGTTTCCAAATTTTTATTATTCTCGTCACAGTTTGATAAAACGTCGACTGAGTTTTATAAAAGTACTATTAAAAAGTTGATAAGTGTAGCCTGTTTAGGACGAGACAATTATTTTATCACTTATTTTGATATAGTCACATGTTTTACAATGAGAAAACAAAGGAGGCTTTTAATGTCAGTCGTGTTTGAACATATTGTGCTGAACAATGTATCCGATTTTAAAGCTTTTTTTTACCACGATTACACTGGATAATTTGATTTTCTTGAAAGTCTAATTGATGTACAATTATTGAATAATTTTTACCATTCTTTTCAATACCATGTGTTTAGTACAACAGTTTCAGTTAAAAGAATCACACTAATTTCATAAAAATTCACAATTCATAACAATAACGTTCTTTTAAAGAGAGCAAGAACAAAAATTGGTGCAGAATAATATGAATTCATTTTATTTTGTTAGGTTCTCATCAGCTGCTTACAACCTAAATTATTTAAAATTCAACATTAATATTAATACAGATATTGACATATTTATATATAAGAGTGTGACTAAGGATCAATACATGTGTATGATGATGTAGCGAATATTCAGATAGAGTTAATGAGCTCATAAAATGTTTGATTCGAATAAATAAATAAAGTTTGAGAGGGAAAGTTCCAGAACATTGAAATAGTGATTAGAACTCATGAAAATAGATTAATGGTAATAAAGAAAATATGAATTGAAATCAATCAGTTATGTATGATGTAATTTATATTTCAGAAAGAGTTACAATAATGACGTAATAAATAAATAAATAGGAGCAAATTAATAGAAAGAGTGGGGGTTATTGTTACCAGGGTAAAGAAAGATTTATTACTGTCTCTTTTTGTATACATAGATCTGGTTTTAAACGTTTGATTGCTAACGCTTCAGCGAATTTCAAAAGGTTCGAGTTTGATTGTTTGTTAATCACCTTGAAGGACTTCAGTATATCAGCTTTATGTCCTGTATCAAGGAGATGTCTGGCGATAGCACTGTTGAATGCGTTCAATCCATTTAACCTTAAACTTTTCGGAATATGTTCTTTGAATCGGACGCAGGCTCTCCTTTCTGTCCTACCAATGTAACTGCTTTGGCAGGTACATGTAAATTTGTATACACAGTTGGTGGTAACATGAAAGGGATACCTATCGACCTTTGATTGTGTCAAAGAGCATGTTGTTTTGGACAGGACAATCAATTTCGCTGCAGGATAAGTTCTTGTCAGTGCAGTTTTTAGTCTCATATTGATTGATCCTGTGACATCGTCACCTTTGAATTGAAGTTTAATAAAAATAGGCTTTTTATTTGCTGTAATTTCTTTCGGCTTTTTAACTTCACATTTGCCGTATTTCTCAATAAATTTCAGTGGGTATCCGTTATTCTTTAAACATTTTTTAACATTCATAACTTCCTCTTCTAGTGTATCGGAAGTACATATTCTTTCTGTTCTGTAAAACAGTGTTTTGACCAGTGCCTTTTTGTAACTGATTGGACAAAAGCTATTGAAATTAAGATAACTACCATTCCATGTGTCTTTCTTATAAACTGAACGTTGAACTGTACCATCTTTTCTTCTTTTCATCGCGATATCGAGAAAATGGAACTTGTTTTCTTTTTCATGTTCCATAGTGAAATGGATATTCGGATGTGCTTCATTGAAAAACTCTAGCAGATTTATTGCATGTTGTTTATTATTACATACGATGAAGGTATCATCAACATATCTCGAATAATACGTCATTTCATCAATCGCTCGTTTGAGTTTGGTTCTTTCGAGGTTAGCCATGAAAATATCTGCTAGGATAGGACCTAACGGACTTCCCATCGCTACACCATCGATTTGTTTGTATATGATATCGTTGAACTGGAACTGAACATCTTTTGTACAAATGAGTAATAGTCGTTTGAATTCTGGTACTGGTAGAGGTAGGATGTCAGAATGTTGACAAATTATGTCTATGGTCTCAAGA